CCTCGAGGGAACGTCGAACCCCACCAACCCACGAGCGACAGAGCCGATGCAGGGGCCGACGAGGTGAGGTCTCTAGCGCCCTCTCCTTTCCTGTCAGGGGGAAAAGGTTGCGTTAGTCTGAGGGAGTGACAGACAGCTGCGGGCGACTCTTGCTCTGTCAGTCTGTCAGCGACTCAGCGCAATCAGTTCACTTGAGCCTAGACTGCCGTCGTCTCTGCAGCAGCGTTCATCTGGTACCTTATCTTTGCCCCAATATGGAAAGAAAAAGATACATGGATCAGAGCTAGAGCACCCACAGAAGCAGGGGGAGCACGGTGATGTACCATGGTACCAGAAGTCTTCAGAGCCACTGAGGAAGAGAAGACTGGGAAAGAGAGCCGCCGCCGCTAAGGCGAGTGGGTGCCGCGTGCTCCAGACTGACGGGCCCCGCCGGCGCGGGAGCGAGACGATTGGACGTCCGTCCGCCCGCCCCTGGCATGGGGGGCCCGAGTTTCAGAGACGACCAACACCACACCTTCACAACCGCCCACCCACCACAACCTAACGCCCGACTCCACGTCTAGAATCTTTGACATCCAACCCGACCTTCAAACGTCTTTCCATTTGCGGTCTTGTCTGTCTTTCGTCCTCCCTTGCCCTCGCCCGTTCGTTGGCTGGCCCTGTCCCCCTGGGTAACTTCTTCTTCCCCCTAAGTTGTTTCCTTTTCACTCTCCCGTCCCATCTTAGAGCCATGCAAACCCCCTATCCTCGTGCTATACGGTACGTGAGTAAGGCAAGGCACTCATTGACGATCACCCTCTTCTTGCCTCTGCCCGTTGAATCTACATGATTGCCCCCCCGGACCCCAGTTTCTTCTTTTCAAAAAGCACGCACAAACCCACTCTGCTCGCGCTGACTGGCACCTTCGACTTGGATCTCGCCTCGGCAGAGCAGGCGACTCGCATGCTGCATGTACAACACCCACCACACATAGAGCTTCTTAGGCACGGCGAAAGAACGAAACGGGCTGGACCCTCCCCTATCATCCCGTCTTCGCTCTGTAGATCTCCCACGGGGATTCCCCTGGCAATTCTGTCAAGCCTTGGCGGGTAAACATATTGAAACAAGGACCTGTCGTTCGTTGGAAAGTGAACCCTCGAGCACACACTCGGCGCAACGCAACCACATACATGGAGACGTGGGGCAAGGGCCCCCGGGAGTTAGGCCGAGATGGCATATAGACTGAACAAGAGATGGGAGACCAGGAAGAGAAAAGAAAAAGTCTCACCATGGTTCCCAAAACCACCCATGCCCTTTGTGCGGCGTGTACGTGGCCTGGCCTCGGGTACCTAGAACTCGGTAGAACAGACGAGAGATGGAGAGATCAGATAGGTCACCTTTCATGATCCCCAAATGTTGTCCGGTGGCCGGGGTGCTCGCTCACCTTGTCACCCTCCCCACACCACCAGTCTACGACACAAGAAACCTCGAGTCGTATTTAGCTGGCTGCATTCCCCAATGTGGTTGAGGCCCATGAGTCCGTGATGTGTCGTGCTTAAACACTCAAGGCCTCTGTTCAGCCTCCTTCAGACGTTTTTTCTTCGTCTTCTCTTCTCTTCTTACAGCCCCCTCGAGGCACTCATTCTCTTCTCTCATTCTCTCTCGTCAGCCACCCAGGAGGCAGGCAACAGCCGTTTCAATCCTTTTCCGGCTGCAGTTATTGTCATCATCAGAGGTTTCACTCCTTCGTACAACCCTCTGATCCTTTTTTGGTCCCAATCCACCTTGCCTCGTCTGGTCACCTTCTTTGCCAAGCGCAACAACAAGTCCACCAGTCTCACTCCACCATCGTCAGTCGGATCTTTTGAGTAAAATCAGGGTCCAGAGCGAGCAAACCAACCACGCTGTGCGTCATTGTCCATCTCACTATCGCCGAGTCGACACGAATCTCTTGGAGTTTTTCCTCTTGCCCACCCTTTGAAGCTGAGGCCGCCGAGATACTCTCTCCTCAACACCCCACTACCAACAGCTCCCAGCCGCATCGCGTGTGTCTCTCTACCCTTGAGTTTCCACTCCTTCGGACTATTGGAAAGAAAAAACGGTCCAGATTCCTAAGAGGCATTGGACCACCCCTCTTTTCTCCCTTCCTTGAGGTCTTGCCTAGACTTGGACGACGCAACACACCACACACACACGAGAAACTTCTCTCTTACCAACCACCTACAGTGACCGGCTCACTCCAGAACATACGACGACATTCATTTTCTTCCTACTTCACTTCATTCATCTTTATTGATGACCCTTTGACTCTCCCTAATCCCTTTTTTTGATTCATATTCTTCAGACATCTTATCCTCCTTTCGTGGCTCTCATCGACCCTCATCCCAACACGCGACTACCTCATTGAGCCTGGCAGAGCCAAACCGAAAGGATACAAGTCAAACAGAGCCCCCGAAAAGGAACATTTCTCAAAAAGGTCTCAAAACCCCTCCTGTCTTCCCATCTCATCAGACAAGAAGGATCTCGATCTCGAGAGAAGTTCCTCAGCCATGCCTTCTCAGAGCATCAAGACGGTACTGGTGGGCGCCGCCGCCCTCCTCCTCTGCTGCCATACCGGGCCGGTCCAGGCGCAGCAGCAGAAGTACGTCCTCCACGACAACTACGACAGCTCAAACTTCTTCAACGAGTTCAGCTTCTTCGACCAGCCGGACCCGACCAAGGGCTCGCAAATCTACACGAGCGCCGTGACGGCCAACAACAGCGGCCTCGCGGGCTACGCCCGGGGCGGCATCTACCTCGGCGTCGACTCCAAGACCAAGGGCCAGGGACGCCAGTCGGTGAGAGTCACGTCGAACAAGGCCTTTGACACGGGCTTGTTCGTTGCTGATATCCAGCACATGCCCACTAGCAGTTGCGGTGTCTGGCCTGCCTTTTGGATGTTTGGTCCCAACTGGTAAGTTTGGCTCTTTCTCATGAGTGCTTCATGAGTACTCTATGAGCTGTGGTGACGAGATGAAATGACTTACTGACACAACTCACAGGCCCAACTCGGGTGAGATTGACATCATCGAGGGAGTCAACACCCAAGAGTCCAACGCCGTGACCCTCCACACAGGGCCAGGTTGCAGCATCACCAACGACGGCACAATCTCCTCCACGACCCTCAAGGAAAAGGACTGCAACGCCGGCAGCGCCTCGACGGGCTGCGGCCAGTCGACATCGAGCAACCAAAACTACGGCGACGGCTTCAACGCAATCGGCGGCGGCGTCTACGCCGTCAACTTCAACTCCCAGGCCATTTCGGTCTGGTTCTTCCCGCGCAGCGCCATCCCCGGCGACGTGAGCTCAGGCAACCCGGTCCCCTCATCCTGGGGCCAGCCCCTGGCCAAGTTCAACGGCGGCTCCGGGTGCGACATCCCTTCGCACTTCAAGCAGCAGAACCTCGTCTTCAACACGGCCCTGTGCGGCGACTGGGCCGGTAAGGTGTGGGAGCAGAACGCCGAGTGCACGGCGCTCGCGCCCCAGTGCTCCGACTACGTCGCAGCTAACCCGCAGGCTTTCACCGAGGCGTTTTGGCTCATCAACTCGGTCAAGGTCTACCAGGCTGACGGCGGCGCGGCAGCGGCTGCAGCTTCGGTCGCTCCCAGTGCCCCTGCTGGCGTCCCGACGGCGCTGCCCTCGGCGCCGATCCCTGGCGTCTCGGCCATTCCTGGAGCACCCGGTTACTAAACGGAGCTCCTTTTTGAAGAGCAACGAGACACGAGGTGCAGAATGGGGGATGGTAGGACTCATTTGACTCATTTGGAGTAAAACGTTATACAGGTCTAGACTTAGGCGGTGGACGCAAGTACAAAGGCGTTTGGAGGCTGGTTTCTGCCATGATCCTTTTTTTGACGACATTTACGACTCACTGTTTTCACTTCTTCATCATCTACTGGATAGATGACCCCTTTTGAAACTTTTTCTCTTTTCTTTTTCGAGGCATGAAGGGAAGACATGGCGTTATAGGGAGGAGATGGCTCCTTGGAACACGTATACCTAGCTTTCGTTTTTTTCACGTGGGTATCATCAGTCGATACCCCCGAATCAGACTACTTGAACTGTTGAGCTCTTTCTCCGTCATTCTGGAACATGACAGCTACCCTGGCCGTCGATTGAGTTCTGCATTGAGCGGGAAAACAGCGCTTGTTTCGCCAAGAAGCGCTCTACACATGATGTAGTTGAACCCCGTGCCCAAGCTCCGGAGCGTTGAGGCTGAGTCATGTCATGTCTAGAAACGATTCAATGACAAGTGAAGTAAGATGTTAGAAAGAAAAAGACTTTTCAGTGTTGTCGATCCGAACGCTGTCGTTGGAGATCTGACGGCCGTTAAAAGAAGAGGGGGAGCGGGGGGTCTCTCGACTCAGTCGTCCGTATACAGTACCGCCTGCCATCTGGAACAAGATTCACTTGACGTCCCGAGATGAGATGTCATCTAACTTTGTAAATGGTCGACAGCCAACAAGAGACGGCCATTCTTGTTCGTGTCTGCCAGGGAACAAGGCTTTCGGCAGGTGGTGCCGAAATTATTAGATTCTATCGGGAGGGTCAACGTCCGATCTCCTGGGGCGGGAGTTGCATGAAAGTGGCAGAGCCCAGTACTAAGTAGGGCCAAGACTCGAAACACGCTCACAGGATTCCGTCCACATGGGTGAGTGCAACGTCTTCGACCTTTTTGGAGGCTACCACAGCCGAGGAAAAGGGGAGGGAGTTCGGTGGAGTCAGGTGGCACGGGGGATCTCGAAGCTTGAGTCGGACGCAACTTCAACTGAAGACTGGAAACTGCTCGTCATGTCCTACCAGGTAGGCGAGGTAGGCAGCAAGTGATGGCATCCCATGTGTTGCCTCTTTCGCGGATCTGGTCATCCGAAGAAAGTAATATGGGCCAGGAGTTGGGACTAATGGCGAAGCAGTGAGGCTCATGGGGCGCCAAATGGCCAAGACGGGAACGACTCCGGGATCGCTTCTGGGCAGAATGTTGACGGGGGAAGTTTTAAGATGTTAAAGAAGTGGGAATAGAGACTCAAGAGAGTGACGGAAAAGTGGCCGTACCTTGCAGTTTGCACCAATTGGTGGTTCCATCCCACCCGTTCCCATGAGCCAACCGGTGGCAGCCGCCCCACATTGTCCAGACAGGCAGGTAGCGATGACCGGATCGGGTTTAGCTGCCATGGGTATGAGGCAGATCCACCATGATCTTCGACAGACTTCAAACTCGCAACAGCCACAAGGCCAAAACCTCCAACACACACGAGGATTGAAGAGCCTGTTCGGGACCCGGCGATTCGAATTGGTAGGATATGCGCAGGTTACAAGTTACAATGATGTAGCGGCGGCGTGTGATTGGATCGTGGCTCGCCGAGAGAACAATCGACGTTCCTCGTCGATCCGCTACTTGGCAAAGAAGCTTGTCTCCTCGATGGAGTCCATCAGGGGTCGAACCTGGCTTTGGCTGGTCTTGTTGATGCAACCGCCCAACCCTTATGTTGCAGTCAGGCTCGGATGAGACGCCCATGAGCCATCACGGGCTTGTGATGCTGGTTCGGACGACTCAGGAGCAGGGCATCTATGGGGTTGTTTTGTGACGGATGTGAGATGAGTTGCCCTGTCAGACAGACGAACAAAGAGTCGCCCGTCGAGCCACGAAGAGGTCAGAGGGAGGCCGCGGGCCCCACGGGCACAACCTTGTGTGTGTGGTTAGGATGGAGGAGACGAACACGAATAGACTGTGGTACTATAGGAAGTTTTGGTATAAGATCCTCCCGCTGCCCCGACCATCTACTGCCTCCTTCTCTTGCTCCTCTTATTATCAGCAATACATCAAACTCAATAATCAACCTTCCTCTCATTCATCACAGCAGCGCTGTTCCATTCACTCTTTGCCGGACAATATCTTCAAAACTGTAAATATTCATAGTATCAAACTACCCACGCCTTTCGACAACCTTCGAACAACATGTACTTCTCCAAGATCGCCGTTCTCTTCACCCTGGCCGCCACCGGTCTCTCCGCTCCCATTGAGGGAACCGAAAAGCGCCAGGCCAAGCTTCTTTCCGTTCAGGACTATTCTCAGTTCCAAGTCTCTGACGGCACCGGTGGCAACGCTCTTGCTGAGGTTGCCCAGAAGTTCCCCGTAAGCTGCCATTACACACTTCCACTAGCAAGACAGCAACGCTAACACCCCCGTCAGGTTGCCCAAATCAAGGCTGACCTTGCTGGAGTCAGCAAGGATGATTTAGCCATTCTCCAAGCTGCCCGTGTCGCCGCCGAGGGTGCCGAGACCGACGCCGGCGGCTTCAACGACGCCATTGCCAAGGCATCCGGAGCCGATGCCGATGCCCTGAAGGTCGGCAAGATCAAGAACAAGGTCCTCAAGCTCCAGCTCGAGGTTCTCGCTCTCCAGGTGCAGCAAGCACAGGGCGCGAGCAACCAGGCCAAGATCGATGCCGAGCAGAAGAAGCTCGACAACAACGTCAAGACCGACACGGCCTCCAAGGGCAAGACCAGCCAGAGCGTCTCGTTCAGCGCCACCTCAGCGCCCAAGGGCAAGAAGAACTAGAGTTGTGACTACTTGCCACGATAGGCATGGTTGGTGTTAGAGAGCAACTTAAGAGTCGTTTGGCGTTATCCTCGTCTTGGTCATGATTGGGGTTGGAGGACATGGGACACGAAACATTGGCGATGGGAGTTTGCGCGCTGGGGAGCCAAATTTCTGATTTAATTCGTTGACTAAATAATTCAGACGATGTTGAGAGAGAAGTGAAAATGAGAAACAATTATTGAGTTGGGTGAATTACAAAGCTATACCTTCTTTGACATCTGTATGGAAAGTCGCACTGTTTATTCCGCAAGGATAAAAGCGTATAGAAACTGTGCATGGCGCTTGTCTGCACTGTATTCAGGCTCCAGTGCGTCTCCAAACTTACCTCGCCTCACTCACCCGCTCTCACCTTTCTCTTACACTGAAACATCAGCAATCATCCAATCTCATCAACCTGTCACTTGCAAAATCCAAATTGCCATCTATACTCATTCCGGAGCAAGAATTACGCGGCCTTTGTCGAATGATAAGCATTATTTCGCTTCTCGAACAACCGTACGCACTACGGTGGCCCGTCGCCTCGCCTGATGGCGTCACCATCGAGTTTCATTCCTTTAGGAAGCCTTATTATCACGCGAGAAAATACCGAGCTTACAGTGGAAGAGTGGAAGCTGTTGGAGAAGAGATTCGGAAGATGGCGCATCATTGCGCCGACCAAACCTGCCAAAGGCGTCAGAGCCCCCGAGCCATTCGACCATGTAGAGGATACCTTCCTCTTATCTGCGGCTTTCAAGAACTACAAGAACCTCGTGGCTGAAAGATGGATCCGAGTTCATCTACTCATTCGCGCGGAGGATGGAGAACGCGGAACTGCAAGGATTTATGTCTTGCCTGACGACGTCGACAATAAGGCCATTGACCGAGACCGCACTAAGCTAAGAAGATCACGCAGAGCTCTCGTTGCCCAACTCGACTTTTCTCAAGACGCCTGGTCCGGCCAGCCCACTTCGACCCCGACTACAATCGACCATGTCTTTAGAGATGAAGAAGACCCTCATGATTCGACCTCGTTGCTCCAGATGTTCAACACCATCCCTTCCCCGGACCCGGCGCCCGACGCTATCACCAATCCATTTGAACAAGATGCCATTTACAACGTACTCGAGGGCAATCTCCCTGGTCTGAATGATACGTCGAAGCTTTATGACTACCAGCGTCGCTCAGCTGCGGTCATGATTCAGCGTGAAAGTGAACCTGGTCAGTTCCTGGATCCAAGAATTGCCAAAGCAACCGACCAAAATGGTGCCGCCTACTACTACGATACTAGCTCCGGAGCCCTCGTCAAGGAACCAAGATTTTACGATGGTGTCAGAGGCGGCATACTGGCTGAGCAGATGGGCTCTGGCAAGACCCTGATCTGTCTGGCAGTCATCTTGGCCACTCGACATTTGGCTACCCGCACTCCCGATATCTACCAAGGGAGCGACGTGCGCGTGAGGAAGAAGATTGGATCACTCGCTGACATGGCAGCCTCGAATGCCAACACCAAGGGATCTCCATGGAAGATCTTCTTCAACGTCTATGATGCGAACCAAGAGCTAGAGTACGACAAGTGCATAGCAGCAATCCGCCGCAACCCCAGCCGCTACCACATCCCCGAAGAGGCTCCCAAGCGCCTTCGGCGGCATGAAAATCCTGTTGGTAACCCGGCAAAGAAAGTCCGACACACTCATGCATCCATCGTCATCGTCCCCAACAACCTTGTTCAACAATGGATTCAGGAAATTGAAAAGCACATCGTCCAACCAGGAAACCCGGCGGGTCTCAAGGTCCTGAAGTTAACTAGCCAAAAGGAGGAAATCCCCAACTCTCAGGTGCTTGCGGCCTATGACCTCGTCCTCATTACACAGTCACGGCTTGATAGAGTATGGAGAGAAACTATGATGATGGGGTGCCCGCTGGCAGAAGTCCACTTCAAGCGCTGCATAGTCGACGAAGGTCACAAGATAGGCTACGCGAAGATAAACAACAAGAGTAATGTCCTCCTAGCCATAGACGCACTCCACGTCTCTGCTCGCTGGATTGTGACTGGAACGCCAGCCACTGGATTATTCGGTGTAGACGACCAACACTTCAACGATACCCATCTCGACAACAAAGACAATGCCGACAAGACGGCAGCCCTCGCCGAGGCAGAAAAGGGAGACCTTGAGAAGATTGGAGCGATAGCATCACTGTACCTCAATGCTCGACCTTGGTCTAATGGCGTCCACGAAACAGGAGATACGACGGCGGATTGGGCGGTGTACGTGATGCAGCCGAAGCATAGCTCCCGATCAACCGGCCGCATGGGGGTGCTGCGCGCCACGCTGAACTCTCTTATCGTCAGGCATCGACTGTCGGAGCTTAACACACTGCTTCCATCAGTCAACGAGAACGTTGTTGTATTGGAGGGTTCATACCAAGACAAGCTGGCGCTCAACATCTTCTCCATGATGATTATCTTTAACGCAGTCCAGTCCCAAAGAGTCGACATGGATTACTTCTTCCACGCCCGTCAACGCAAGGCTCTGCTTCAACTGGTTCACAACCTGAAGCAATCCAGTTTCTTTGGCGGTGTCTTCTTCGCTAAGGACGATATACTGAAGGCACTCGAAACTGCAGAGACTTTCCGCCAAGAGAAAAAGGTTCTCATCAGCGAGAAAGACGAAGCACTTCTAAAAGAGGCCGTCGAAGTGGCCCATATTGCCATTGACAACCAACTCAAAGACTTTAGCAACAAGTATAACGAGGTTCCCATCTTCATCCACGACTTTCTCCCCAATGGCGTGGGCTCTGCCTGGTCCCTCGACGACCGAGACGCCAACCCCACCTGCACCGATGCTGGTATGGTGCTTACCGCGCAGAAACTGATCGCCTCTGCCATGGGCAAGCCCACGAAGCTGAACAGCCTGCTCAACGGTCAGCTGGAGTTTGAAGGTCGCAAAGAGCAAGCCGACCAGATCATGTCTGGGGCACAGGGTGTCGCGATTGACCACCGGCCGTCAAAGTCTCCAGGGGTTCTTGCTGGCAACACGAAACTGGGAGGTGAACGGGTTCCTCGACACCTCAAGTCGACTGCCTCGAAGCCAGGCGACCCCGTGCCCGAGCTGGAGCAACTTCCAGACGACTTGAAGAAGGCGATGCTGGTTTCCACTGTGTCAGCAAAGCTCTCATATCTTATTGACGCTGTGGTCGAGCACCAGGACAAGGAGAAGATGATCATCTTCTACGAGAACGAGAATGTGGCGTGGTATCTGGCGGGTCTTCTTGAAGTAGTGAGTTTGAGCATCTCGACGACGTGTGGTTGCGAATTAACATGGCCACCCAGATTCACGTGCGTCACCTGATTTACGCCAGCAAGCTCACGTATGCCCGGAAGATGGAGTACGTGGACACTTTCAACAATGACCCCAAGATAAGGTTAGTTTTCAGCGGACTCTCATTTGTTTCGTGGATGCTAAGAAATATTAAGGGTCATTCTCATGGACTTGTCACAGGCCGCTATTGGTCTCGACATGAGGGCTGCCTCGCGAATCTACTTCATCAACCCCGTTCTGAACCCCCAGATCCAAGCCCAAGCTATTGGCAGAGCTCGACGCATTAGCCAGCAGAAACCCGTGACGGTCGAGACGCTTGTACTCCGGGATAGCATCGAAGAAGTCATCATGGAGCGCAAGAAGACCATGTCGCAGTTTGAGCACTGGAAGTGCAAGTCCATCATAGACGACCAGCCCATCTACAACTGGATCTTGAACGCCGGCATTATACCTCTTCCCACGGGCCAGAAAGATTACTTGGCACAGGCCATTTCGCTGAAGCACCCTCAGCCAATCTTTGGCAGCAAGTTTGCTGGCGTCCAGTCTTCTTTGGAAGAGAGGACTATGGCGAAGGGCACAAAGATGAAGTCGGCGATGTTCGAGGACGAGCTGGCGAATGGCACACATCTGGGCGGTCTTAAGCGCCCGCGCAGTCCCGAGCCTAATGGTAATGGAGACTTGGGAGAGGAACCTGCCAGGCCTGCGCGCCGCCTGTGCTTCTCTGCAGAGGACGAGGATATGAGTGATGGGCGGTCCCAGCCAAAGGTGCGATTTGCATAGGAATTTTCTAGATTTTAGGGCAAACTCAGCACAACAAGCGGCGTTTGTACGTGAGGTCTGGATCCCGTGCCGCAGATTTGGGTGGCTGCTTTCTGCAGCGGGTGAGGTTTGTTGAATCATGTCTGTATAGCACGCTCGAGATACCAACTACGCTGCACATGGATGCAGCAATATGAATCGTTTCTCCTATTATTGCTTGGCGATTTTTTTACGATGCGTAAACTACTTTTGGTTGGTGATACTTTAGTCAGTCATTCCTCATCGTGTCGCATAAGACCCGAGTTCAATATGGAGTTTGGTGACTACTGTTGCTAGGGAGACGTGAGGTCTTTGCGACAACATCACGGCGCACTGTTTTTGTTTCTCAGCACAGGATCATATTGTTCACAGTGTTGATGCCAAGCGAACTTCTTCAGTCCGAGAGGCGGCGGCCCATCCGAAAGGACCTATTCATAGCGATAGTGTAGACGGGCGCCGAAGTCCGAGGCCGGCCCGGGACGGAGACCAACGGGAGAGTGCATTAGCCATTGTTGTCTCTCGAGTCTCACGCTTCGTCCAAAAGTCAAGCCGGCTGTTTTATGTTTGTACAACTCTCTCGGGATGACAGCGGAACCCGGTCCACGGCAAGTCTTGGTAGTGCAGCCGGGTCGACCGAGGAACTGGGAAAGTCGGATGGGGCCAAGCGAGATAACCTCGTGGGATTTGGGACGGGGGTCAGACGTTTTTCGTGTGGTGCACGGAGGATGGGAACAGACGAGTGAACAGACTCTCGAGGCATGGCTAAGTCACGGATGAGGGGACGTGTGTAATATGAGGTTCAATGACCAACGTATGATAAACAAAAGACAGGACCGGCGCAAGAGATTGCATCGCTTGGTTTTTTTTTTTCCTCTTTCGCCCAGGCGGTTGTGGGATGCCGTATGTTGGCCATTCACATGTCATGTCCCTCTTGTTTCTTGGAAAAACGAAACCGGTATCTCCGTGGCGTGGATCTTGCGGATACGTAAGCACAACAAAGGAACCGTTAGGACGGATGACAACGGGCACGAAACGATGATGCAATGCGGAGGTCTCGGCAAGAAGGTTTCGATGGAGATCGTGGACCCATTTTGTAAGGTAAGGTGCGGTCCACGGGATGCAATATGGAAGGAAAAAAGAGGCTGGGGATGATACCTGCACTTTTGGATGACAGAGACACTGGGGAAGGAAGGGACCCAGACAAACCCCCATGTTCGAAACGATTCTGTCTCTCCACCCTGTCACTCCGTGCCTGCCCGTCGGGCACAGAAAGAAGAAAGGAAGGAAAGGAAAGAAGGAAGAAACCATGGCATGATATGACATGACGCCTTCCAAGTTCCGTGAAACTGTCTACCCTTACCCGAGCATGGCAACGGAAGGCAAGAACGGCAAGCAAGGCAAGGTAAGTACGGCTAGGGTTGAGAAAGAGGCAGAGAGAGGCGTTTCTCTGCCCATCCTGTCCGCTTCAGTTGAACCAACGATGCACATCTACCAAGAGAGCCTCCAACTTGCATCATTCTCGACAAACCGCCGCGCAATCGTGGAGACCTCTGAACAGCTTGACGCAGGCGACTTGACTCGTTTCACGATTTCCACCTCCCTACAATGGCCATTGTCGATAACGAACCAACGATGAATGGTCCTTTCAACTCCTTCGCCCCCTGTTTCCTCCCCAAATTCCAGAGGTTGGGTGGTTCGTCTGAGGTTAGCCGCTAAAAGCCCACCTCAAACTAAGACAGAAAGCAGCAGGGACGCCCGTTGAAACCGATTCTCACCACAGCAACGAGCTTATCCCGAACGAGTTACCTTGCTCCGATCTCTCGGTACTATCCATTCTCGCGTTCTTTTGCGTCGCTCCATGGTCTTTGCGAATACTGTAAGATGCCCTCGAGGCTCAGGGAATGCAATAGAACGTTATAGGGATATCCATGAATGGCAGGAACACTCAGGCACTTATCTTCACTGTATCCTTGAACCACACGAGCTATTGAGACGGGATGTGACGATCCATAACTACGGAGTACCCAGCTATGAAGCAAACCAGGCGTCACAGGCCACACGGCACGGGAATGCAGATGCGGAAGCGGCAACGGGATGCGCGTAAGACGTCCAGCCCAGATTGACGAGGCGACTTTGATGCGACCTCAACACGCGCTATGGCGCCCGGGGGTTCACGGTATCACAGGGTTCTAGTGCAAGCAAAAGCTGGAGCCTGGCAGAGCTGGATACTGGGAAAATGGAGCCCCTTGACTAGGTATTGCGCTTTCGGTGTGTCGGCCTTGGAGATGGGATTTCCAGGATAGGTGAGTTTTGTCCCACTTCAACTTCCTGGTTTTCTGTTTCTGTTCCTGGATCAGTGCTGCGGCCAAGGCACACAATGGCCGTTGTCTGTCTGAACGGCTGCAGCTTGCAGGTTCCAGCCCCGTCTGTGCCAAAGAAACCTTGCGTGGTCAGAAGAGTCCCGTCATGGCTAGCTGCATCAAGCACCCCTCCCTCATCGACTTTCCATCTGGTATACGCTGCAGGGCGAATTGGGACTGTTAGTTGGCCCCAGCCCAGCCTCCCGCCGACACGCCACTGACCGAACTGATGTGATGGTCCGGACGAAACGAGGTCAGAATGATGAGACGAGATGGTTCAGAGGGAGGATCAAGAGCTCCGCATACAGGATCTATTTGCCCGAGGCGGACGCCAGGCTCGTTCACCCTGCCTAGGTGGCCTGTCCCTGTCTTCCTCCCTCTGAGTCGACGAGCTGTCAGCCAGTGTGTTTTGGGCAGTGAGATGTGCGCAACTCTGAATGGACTGGCTGTGCAGCATCAGCATCGCACGTTGATGATACGGATATTACTGGATGTCGGCACGGTTCGTCGCAACCCCGCGAAACAGAGCCAGGGCAAGATGCTATATGCCTTGGCTTCTTCCGGGCCGCTCATTCGCCGCCTTCGGGAGTCGTCGTGGCCGGTTTCCCGCTCCGCCACTCAGGGAATGACCTGGAGCTTGAGGGAGAGCTCCAGAACATCACCAACCCTGTCGGGCTGTTAACCTTGTTTTTCCCAGGCAGCGGGTACAAGTATTCCAGGCCAGAAATGTGGGTGCTTCCATTGTATCGAGTCGAGTGCCTGGCAGCTGCGAGTCGCTGCGACCCATCGTCGATTGCCTGGAGCTCGAGGCGCGAGACAAGCTAGACGAGGGGATAGAGGGGTTAGATTACCCACATTCCAATCATTCATGCGACTAAGGCACCTCCCAGCCGCTGCAGTGCAGAATGTTGCCGCCATATTGCGTTGCTTTGCGCAGCTCTAGGAAGGGCTTTTGGGAGTGGAAGGGCCGGGAGTGCGTGAGCGCCGAGCAGGGCTCTGACTTTTTGTCTTGGGACCACGAGGTCCAGATCCCAGGCCGCAGACCGCGATTTGATGGGATATTTCGAGCGTGGGGATGGGGTTCTTGAGTTCAAATATAATGCACCCATATGCATGAAGGCTGCAATCTGGAAGGCCCTCGCCCTCTTGCTTCCCTCGTCTTCTCATCTTTCCCCTTTCCACCCTCGTTTTGTTGGTATTGACAGGTTATAGTTGTTGGCTCTTATTGTTCGGTCTCTACTCACCCTCGTCTCCCCTTTCCGGCTCATTCATCATCGCAAGTTCGCAACAGCATCCTGCTGTTGGCTGAAGCGGGTCAGCTACTGAATTGAAAACCCACCCTCGCAACAACGGCAACTGGCCAAGCTAACCCCACGTCCGGTATATTAAAATTACGGCACAACGACCTCATGAAGACCCAGGTTGCAACCCCCTTTTGTCCGTTGAAATAAAAGGTGTCGCCTCGTCGTCCAGTCCAGCTTTGGCGGCAAGATTGCGGCTGAGAGAAAGAGAGCGCAAAGAATCGGTCAGAGCAGCAGCAGCAGCAACACGACCGAGGTTTGGACGGCACGTGGACGGTCAGCAAGAGACGAACGAGAAGACAGAGAAGAAGGTCATCCGACTAGATATATCGGCAAGCGACGGTCACGAACCTCAGATCATGGACGGCACAATGATCAGCGGACGTCAGTACTACGAGATACCGCCTGCGGGCCAAGCGATCACGACTTCCTACAAATGCAACCGACGGTTCGATCCCGACTACGGACTCAACTACGGGCACCACAGCTACGCTATCGAACAGAAAGACTACCGGGCGGCCCGGGCAGTCTCTGGCAGTGGCCTTGGGCCAGCGGGTGCAAGGCAATCGCTGTCGGCGCTGGACGACAAACGTGCCAACGAAATTCGACATGGCGTCTACGCACACGTTTTCCTCGATGTCAAAAATAGCAGCAAATCAGAAGCTCCGTAAGTCTCTCTTTTCTAGTAGTTGGCCCCATCTTTCAGTTTTCAACACTATCGACGACTGCATTTTCCCCATCGTTCTACACCACTGGTTCCACGTACTGGTTCCTCTACTGCGTCGTTGATTCGCTCGCCTGCTTGTTCTACTGCTTCTTGTCGCGCGCCTTTTTTTCCGTTTAATCACTTTTCTTTGCATAGTTCCGCCTGGCCTCGTATTCACTGTTGCATTTTTTTTTCTTAATTCACGCGATCCGTCACCTGCTGCGTCTGAAATTTCGTTCTTGCACGGCTCGACAGGAGACGGCGCGAGCATTGGGCTGTACTCGCTCGTTTTGGTTCATCCCATTTTGCCGTTTCTACATCAACCTTGCCATATTCTTTGGCTGCCTCTGCCACTTCGGAATTGTTCTACTTCTGCCCACATTAAGAACAGCGATGACGCCTCGACCCACGGCTCGCGAGTGGGAGTCGCGTCGTTCGACTGACAAAAATGCTAAACGGGGGTAGAGCCCCACGCCTCATTTATTATCGATCCCGAGCCTTTCTTTCCAAGTGGATCCGGACCCAACGGAGGCTGCTTTGGGAAGTGTACTCTAGACGTGGAAATCCGAGATCTTTGCTCTAGTGTCTATAGCTCTTGACACGGCGGGCACGCTTTTGGCAAGGCCGGCAGATACGGATAGGCACTCGGGCTACGGCCTACTGCAGGAGAAGCCAGCCCGACTGAACAAGCCACTTTTTGCGATGCCGTCAAGTTCTTCCGGTTGGTTTGTCCTCAAGATTACGTTCCCACGAGATCCTCCTGCCCAGGCTGGGCGGGGCGGAGACAGAGTTACTTGTCACTTCTGAGATGGGAAATGCATCGACGCACGAAATGGGAGCTCGGATTACTCTGTACCCACGACTTTCCTCTTCCACGTTTTCCCCTGCCATGACCCCTGCATCTCGTCTCCAGCTTCAGTTGAGCGTTGCGGATCCCATGATCGAATGATGGTGCTTTCATCCTTGCGTCGTTATCAAGATTCACCTCCCCTCTCCTTGTTTCGCGGATTCTCAAACACGGCTTTGGAGGCTTCAATGTAACTCTTCAGGATGGACGGCTTGCGGCTTGCCATCTGCGGGAACCATCACAACGGGGCCCGGCAGAACGGAGTGCCTAGAGACCGCCAGGAGCTTGTCCTAATTTCCACCAGGAATAGTGGCGCGCGTCTCTGCCAGTTGCAAAGCAAGGCAGAATTGCGCTGCTACCCGCCAAGCGGCAACGCCACGAGACAAGATTTGCTTCTCTGCCTCTTTCTGTCCCTCTTCGCGCCGCACGTAGTGTAAGCCCTAGCGCAAGTGCTAAAGCAGGGAGTTCTTGTCATCGCGCCCACGTTGCTGGGTTGCGCGACTCGGCTAGTTCGTTACTGCGTATCTGCACTGCGTATCCGTAGTCGCCTCCCAACATCGCAGCCTTGGGAGCTCCTAGTCCTAAGTCCTCGGTAGCTCGAGATACGGCTGATGAGTGTTTCCCCTTCGAGGCGGGTCAACAAGGGCCAAGGGTCAGGGGGGATTTTCGAGGAAGGACGACCCCCAAATCGCTCCCTCACCCCCCAGACAATGGGATGGGCGACCACTCATCAGACTCCATCTGGATAGGATCATCAGAGCGAGCGCCGGTCCGGGCACAGCCCACGCACCTCTCTGCCCGCGCAAGCCTCTGTCGAATCCAGGGTGCACTTGCAGATTGCCCAGCGGTAGCCTCGTTGGTGTGTGCCGGTGCCGTTCTTTGCGTGTCCTTTTTTGGCTCCGGGGTCTAATTTTCTTCTCTCTCTTTTTCCTTTTCTTTCCTCCGATTCTCTTGTATTAAACTTGACAGAACCCCCCCGTCACGTCACGTTGGCGCTTTTCGCTCTTTTGTTTCTGGGATTTGCTTGTTTGCCGACTTCCTGTTCCATTCTTGGCTTGGAACTTTGCCCGCTGCCGAATTCCGTTTGCCGGATGATCCCTGAAGTACCTCCGTACTAACACGACCTGTCTCTTCTCCATAGCAACCCGAGACCTCTTCAACACAAGAGGCGAGCTTCTGCTGCACCTGCTGCTTCCAATTACATCCTCCATGATGGTAACCGTCTGAGAGTCCCTGGTCGTTTCGCTCCGCGTCCAGCTATCGCCGCCTCCGTTTCCGTCCCGTCGTCTCCGCTCATGACCGCTAGCCACGGACCTGCTCCGGCGTACTTCGGCGCTCCAGAATTGTACCACCATAAGGGTGAACAGCAACAGTCTACCATGGCCACGATGGCTACAACAGAGCCCGCGCGCTCAAGTCCGCGCATCGCTCGGGTGCCATACGCCTTGCAGACGGCTCCTTTAGATTCGAAGCTCATTTGCGAATCACTGCCTACCACAGCTCTCAACAGGCCGAGGAAACTTTCCCAAACATCCACCATCACCGTCACGAGCATCAACAGCCCGAGGGAAAGCTTTGAGACACGATCCAGAAGCTCGTCGTACAGCAGCCACAGGACAAGCATCGATTCGAGTCCCACCATGTGGAGGCCCGATTACATGTACTCGAGGCCCAGTCAGACGTCTGTCTTTAGAAAAAAGGCGAAGCCTGGGGAAATCTTTGCGAAGCTGCCCGGAGAAGTTTTGGAGTTGATCCTGGGCGAGCTCAGGAAGCTGCATCTCGAAAAGCCTACGGAAAGCTGCGCGACATGTTGGATGAGGGATGTCTGCTCGGTTACTCTTACAGCGAGAAAATGGTGCAAGTTTGCGCGAGTGGCATTGTGAGACTCCTACCCTTCGCCACGATCTCGCCATCTTACTAACAACGTATCTCAGGTATGAGGATATTCAACTCATAGGAGCTGATTCGGCATCTCAAAAGAAGCGACACAAAGTCACGTTCGGCTCGCGCATGATGCTCCTCAGACGGACACTGAGAGCGAACTCGTATCTCGCCGGACTCGTCCACACTCTCAAGGTCCCAAGCCCCCCTACCGGGGTCTTGCTGGAGGACTATCATAATCAAGTCGCCGCGCTGATCATGGCATGTCCTAATTTTGAGCGCCTAATCGGCCTCCACCCCCACTATAACCACTCGTACAGCAAGCTCTTGCACGCGCTTTCGTCGCGTAAGCGCCTCAAGCACATGGATTGGATCGTCGAGCCTTCACCCTTTCAGCGACAACACCGATTCAAGTCAAGCTCGGCTAGCAATGTCGCCGCGATGACCCAGGCAGCCTACGATGCTTCCGTCACACCCGGCGACCTGCAACCACACCAGAGTGCGGCATTCCTCGATTTTCACGTCGACTGGGCCCATCTCACGACTTTGTCGATTCACTGCCTCCCCGGCGCAACTCTTACTCCGGATAACCTCATCAGCTCAGCACTGATGCACCTAACGTCTCTGCAGCACCTTTACCTATCATGGATGCCGGTGACCGCCTTTAATGACAGCACTCTGCTTTCACTCCCTCCCTTGCGTACACTATCACTCACCCACGTACCGGGTGTCACCAGCAGTGGTATTTCTGCCTTGGCCACCCTCCCAACGAGCCAGGCGATCCAGAAACTGACTCTGCGCCACACGAACCTCGATTCCCTGCCCGCCTTGGCCCGCATCTTTTCCAACTTTATCCACCTCGAGTCTTTTACTCTCGTCCAAACCTTGGCGCCCACGCTCCCGGAGGACACATTCATATGGCTCATGCCATACCTCGCCTCCTCGTCTCTTCGTAAACTTCATTGGGACATCACGAGCAACACGACCCACGCCAACGCCGCCGACTCCATCCTCGCCCGCAGTATCGCCGCCGACGGCTTCCCCACCCTACGCAGTCTCCGCAGCCCCAATGACCCCGAGGGCATCTTTCAAGCCCTCTGCCGGCCGCAGGAGAGGATGGACAGCGCCAGCGATCGCTTCCGCGGTCCCAACGGACCCGCCCGGAGCTCCTCGTTCCCCACCCCCAACACGACCTACAGCCCCGTCTCGCCGACAAAACCGTCCCGCTCGCCCACAGCCCCGGCGTCCCCTGTCATGAGCGATACTCCTCGCGAATGCACCAATCTCCACGTAGCCCGCCTCGCGGCGCAGGCCCGCCTCGAAGCCGCGCGCGCAGCGCTTCCGCGGTTTTTCCTGAACGTTATTGACGAGGATGGCACGGTGCTGGAGAAGTATGGGCTTGCGGCTTTCATCGGCACGGTAGAGAGCCGCATCACGTATAACCTGCGTCCCGACCCGGGCGCCAAGGATGAGCGCGGCGGGCTGGTTGAGATAGCGGACCTGACGGCGGACAACGGCGAGGAGGTCGCCGTTGGGCGGGAAGGCTGCCAGGGGCGGTGGAACGTGTCTTCGACCGTCTCGGACAAGAAGGATCGGGAGAGATGGTGGCACACTGAGAGAGGCCGCTGGCAACAACCGGAGCTTGCGTGAAGTGCGGATCAGCCTCGCGATGAGCTACACATTTTATTTCCTTGAATGTCTCGATGAAACGGCCAACTTTATGATATCCAGATTGTGGCAGGGGTACGGGGGAATTGGATCGAGATGCCTCAAAGATACCAAACGAAACAGCAGGAAAAGATACATATGTAACGTACATAATGTTTATAATGGTATTCATAACTAAATGGTAACGATGGGCGAGTGGAAGAAAGAGGAGGATGTACATAGAAATGGAAACATTCAGGTTTGTAGTACAATGCCACAGACGATTTAATATCCACAGTGAATTAGGTTGTTTTATTGAGCCGTCAAGTTTCCCAAAAGACATGATTTTTGAGACAAGATATGAGAAGGGCCGTGGGTTCCACTGTGTCCAGTGTGCGTACGTACCCTTCCAGAGCCAAACCCGCTCAGTCCAAAGAGACGCAAAGGCATGTATCGAGACAGTGGTTTCCAGACTTTCACTAAGGTGCGAAACACCTCTCAACGCAGAAGGCGAAGCGATTCTTGCACTGCCCCAAAAGAAAAAAAGGAAAACACCGTGCTGCTGTTGCCTGAGCACTCTTATCTTGATTTACCTTGCCTTACGTGAGGCGAGATGGGGTCGTGGTTGCTGACTGCTCAAAGCTGAGTTTCCTTGGGTTTCGCTGCCTTCATACGAAAGTCAGCACGCTGGAGATGAGGACCCAAGCGCCGATTAAAACGTCCAGGGGGAGCCTGCCCGGTTGCAGCAGCCACCAACCCCGCCCCCACCACCTGTTCTCCCACCTCACCCCCCGTTAAGTAAGGTGTGACTGCCTGCCTATCGGTGATTCCCCCTCTACAATCGGTAAGCTGCCCGCCCGCCCGTACGCCGCCCGTCCACCCCACCTGACCTCTGTCCAACTTCATGCTTCCGTCAGCCAGCCTTAGACGACAGCTTGTTGATTGTACATCATTTGGATAACACCCACGAACCAGCCGTTCAGAGCGGGCCAATATCTTCGTCGTAACTCATTTTCTGGACGTATCAAGGATCTTCTTAGGCCGCGCTCGATCTTTGCGCTGCGACCACGGCGGTTGAACATCCACCCCCTGCTGCTCAGTGACCGCTTCTCGGGGGCTTGCGGTGCTACGCTCAGCATCTTGTCTCATTTTTCCGGTATCCAGCTGGCTTCATCCTGGTCAACATACTGATATCCGGATCTCAAGTGAACTAAGCCAAGGTCAAGATATCAGGAACTGGGGACCGAGGAAGAGATTGGGAAAAGGCCCACAACTGTTCGTAAAGTCTACTGTGAACGGCGGGGCGAACTTGCGCAGGTGCCTAGGCAGCATCCGCCAAACCGACACGGCAACACGACAGTACAATACACATCAGTAGACGAGACTACCAAGACTTGCGAGAAAGAAAAGAGAGCAAGAAACAACAATGTCAAAAGACAAGACACTTCGCATCTTTTGCTTCGGCGACTCGCTGACGGCCGGGTACTCGTCCTACGGCGCCGTCTACCACCCGTACTCCATCGCGCTCACAAAGCTGCTCGCCGTGTACCTGCCCGACACGCAAATCGTGGTGACGGACAACGGTATGCCCGGAGATGTCGTTTCGCAGGGAGCCTTCGCGCAGCGTTTTGATAGCGAGAGTTCGTACTTCTGCCTTTCCATTATCATTCAATGTTCTATCACGACTTCCTCACCTCTCCTCTCATTTCATCTCATCTGCCCGGCTTGCTGCAGATGAAGGACTTACTAATCTCATGTTCTAGCGAGCCAAGCACAATATGACTGGGTAATCATACTGGGAGGCACAAAGTAGGTTCAACATACACGTAGATTCCCCTGAAATTCGCCTCATACTAACAAAATGTACCAGCGACCTTGCATTCAACGTGCCGCCAGATAGGATATTTGACTCTCTCCGGGGAGTATACGACTCCGCCATTGCCAAGGGTAGCAAGGTTCTTGCCTTGACAGTCCCCGAATGTGCAACCAAGAGTGAGAAGCTGGATGCCCGCCGGCGTCAGCTCAACAACGCCATCCTCACCCATCAATCACCAAATTAGTATGTCCTTCCCCTCACACGTGTTCCCTCATTCCATTGCCCCCATCGTATCTTTCCGTGTTCAGGACAGAATCACACAGCAAACGTACTAATCACCAAACACCCAGCCACGCCTTTGACCTCAACCCAAGGATCCCATTTCACGCCCTCACCGATCGGGAGTGCAAAAGGTACTGGGACGACGGCCTGCACCTGACACCAGCGGGCTACGACTGGATGGGCACGCACATTGCCGAGGCCCTCCGTGACGTTGTAGAGCTCGAGCGGAATCCCCAGTCTAAGAGAGCGCGTAGGGCGCGGCGTAACGCCGAGGAGCAAATCTCCTTTGACGAGGAGGACGGCGATCCACACTCGCTCAGCGAGGGTTACGTGGTCGTGCGGATGAGAGACTTGAACTAGATACCTTTTTTTTCTTTCAATGCGAATATTGTTTCTAAACCCATGGTTCATCCGTCGTCCTCTCTTATTCAGCCTAACTCCTATCTACTACGTAAGTCGGGCTACGTGACTGCACCATGCTGACGTGCTTCTCTTCGTTTGTGATATGCAGTGCGCTCTCTGTCGATCGCATGAATCCCTAAAAACGCCAGTGTTTAACCCCCCCCCCTTTTACAACGCCGGTAATGTGTGTGAGTGTGTGTAAAGTTCAGTCCCGTCATAGTGATTCATCTCAAATGACCAAGTTGGCTTCCACGAATTCCTGAATAGCTGTTAGTAGATGGTTCATCAAAGACCATCCTGAAACGTAGGGGATAAACTCACGGGAAACTGTTTTTGCAGAGAATTGGTCACGTTCTCAACCTCCTCGGCCACGCTTTGCACATTCGCATCCCACCTCCGCATCTCCTTGCCGACCACAACCTCGGCGCGTCCGCTGCCCTTCTTCCCAGACGCCTCGCCGCCCTCGAACCAAATCACCTCGTCGAGCTGGTCGATCCGGCCGAGAAGCCGGCCCTGTTCAATCATGCGCGCCGTCGTCTCCTCGGCCTTTTCGGCGTCCAGGCCGAGCAGGGAGCCGAGCGCCTCGAAGCCAATGTTACGGTACAACCTCGACGCGCCGAGCAGGTTGTGCTCGACGACGGCTTTCGCCAGTACGGTGGACCCGTCGGCCGTGGTGGCGAGCTGGTGCGGCTGCAGGCCCTGCGCGAACTTGTCCACCTCCTCCGGGGCGAGCAGACGGTCGAAGAACATTTTTTCCAGCATGCCGTGCTCGTCGAGACCTGCCGACCGCTCGTCCTTGTACAGCCGGCCCAGGGCGCGGCTCCGCATGGGACCGGCGGGGGCGAGGATGGCGCACTTTACGGCCATGCCGAGGGTATGCAGACGCTCCTCCTCTGCGATGGCGGGGCTGACGCTGATCTCGTGGTAGCGGCCGCTGGCGCCGAGGAAGTCGCGCTGGGAGTCGAGGATGCGTGCCATGGAGAGCTTGAAGTGGAGGTCGAGATCGCGGTCCTGGACGGTGTGCATGATGTTCTTGAGCTTGTTGACGTACGTCTCGGCGGCGGTGGTGTCGTCAACCTCGAGGTAGTTGCGGGCGATGCGGACCCAGACGCGGGCTTTATCGTCGTTTGTGACTTTGCGCTGGGAGCCGTCGAGGGGGATCTCGGCGAGGACGTTGGCGGCGTCGAGGAAGTCTTCGGCGCTCTCGTGAGCCTCGGCGACGAGCTCGCGGACGGCGGCGGCCTGGTCGAGGAAGGAGGAGGGTTGGGTGGCGAGCTGGGCGAGGGTGTGGTTGCCGACGGCGATCCAGAGGTCGTCGTTTTGGAGGGCGCGGAGGGCGGCGACGAAGGAGGCCAGGAGGGAGCGGGTTGAGACGATGCCGAGGGAGGCGGCAAAAATAGCGTCGAGGACGGCGTTGAGGTCGGACGCGGCTGTCGGAGGGGACGAGAGGGTCTTGATATCGGCGATGATGGACTCGTAGGCTGGGGCCTTGTTGCCGGAGGCCGATTCGGCTTGGGCGAGCCGCTCGGCGACCTTTTGCGAGGGCGCCATGGTTTCGATGTGTGCTGATGTGTGTATGTCGACCTGTGCGTGATCTGTTGGTGTGAAGTGTGATCTTGGTAGTGGTGCGGTGGGATGCGGGTGAGTATCTGAGCTTGTGCTTCTCAACGTTGATGGTTGATCGTGAAGCCGTGGAGCTGCAGGAGCTGTGGTGAGCTCTTGGATGGTTGTCATTGATAGAGTTAGGCAGGCATGGTGGGGTAAGAGCTTTGAGGGGCCGTTGGAGGGGCGCCCCGGTGCAGGGGCCCACGGGCCAAGGTTCCGGAGCACTCGATTCGATATGCTTCAAAAGGCATCATAAGTTTTCCATGCCGTTCATATTATGCGATGTTGAGTGTAAACAAGATGGGAGTCAGATATTGAAGACCCTTGGTCTGAAATAGCACAAATTGAAGTTATCATGACACTCACGACTGCCCGCGAAGTATGATTTGGAGACTTCTGCAATCTGCCTATTGTGCTGCAGATGAGGTACTCACCAAGTTCTTTTCCTGTGCCTTGGTACATAACTGGTTCATCTATATAGGGAAGTAAGTCAGAGACGGTCTAATGGGCAACACAAGTCAAAGGGCAGCTGGTCATTGCTCTTTGACCGTTTACAATGCAGGGAACTTGACTGGTCAGCACACTTCACACATCATGAGCAAAAGAAAGTCGATCACTAAATGCAAAGCACGTATATCCATTTGCCCATATTTCAACGCAGTAACTAGTCTTTTCACAAGCTGAGCCTACTGCAATCGTTCAACGCAGCGGTGTTCTCTCCGGAAACCTCTGTAGTGTACTACGTATGACACCGCAAAATTTCCCAATAAGAATTACCATAATAAGCAAATAATTGCAGTCCCTGTATTCGGTGAACCATCGGAAACTAGGAGATTTGGTTTCCTGATGTTAACGTGCTATTTTAGATACCATGACTTTGGAGGCGGAACATTTTTTTTGCAGGTCGGGGTTTTTGGGCGGTCGGGAATTTTTGCCAAACGTGACTTGGTGCCTTTCCCGTCGATTTTGTCCAGTCAATTTCGCGAAGCAGGGATGAGTGGGGGTTTGAGCAGAGTTATGCAATCATTAAAATTTATGAACACCGGGTATTGTACAATATCGGCCCATCATCGGCTGATGATGACCAGCGAGCCCTTCTCATCTCAGATGTACGCCTTCTTCTCTCTCTCTCCTTCATTTTTTTTCTTCCTCCATATTTTATATAGACAAGTCCACCATCTTGTTGGAAATGTTTGAGAGAAGACTCATCGCTTCCCCAGCTAGTGCTGCAGAACAATCGGCTTCCCAGCTTCCCAATTATTCAGGCTCTCCTGGATATTAACCCAGTACCGGAGATTCACCGCCTCCCTCTTGGCCGTCTCGATATCGTCGTTCCGGAACGCCGTCTCGAGCACCTCCTCGCTCGCGCGTATCCTCTCATCATTAGCCTCTCTCTGGCCCTCGAGCTCGCTCTCGGCCGTCGCCTCCTCAATTTCCTCGCGCGCCTCGAGCACCACCATCAGCAGCTCCGGGTCCTCGACTTTCAGCGTCTCGTCGTTGGCCACGTCGACGCCGCGGAGCGAGAGGAGGTACTGCGCGCGCAGAAGCGGGTTCGACAGCGTCTTGTACGCCTCGTTGATCCGCGCCGACGTCGCCTCCGCCCGCGTCTTGAGCTCCGCCGGGTGCATATCCGGGTGGGCCTTGGCCTGCAGCCGTAGGAACTCGCGGCGAAGGGCGCGCTGGTCGATGGGGAAGTGGCCCTTGGGCGGCGGGCCGTCGGGGAGGGTGATGGGGAAGAAGTCGTAGTGCGTCTTGGGGATGGTGCTGTCGGGCGTGCTTGAGGAGGCGGCTGGTTCGCTGTCTGGTGTCGCTGTCGCCGGCCGGGATAGCGGAACGGTCCCGGACATCCACCGCTTTTGGCTGGGAACTGTGGATGAGACTCCAGAAGCCCATCGTGCATGTGTTGTGACTAAAGGACTGCTGGCGGTGGCCATGGCTACTGCGCCGGATGGCCGGGCCATTGTCGCTTGTCGCCGGCATCTCGCGCATAGGCGAGATGCGTCTCGTACGCCGGTCTGGATTGATGTGCGCATGTTGCTTGTGAACGTAACGTAGGTAATTGATCTTTGATTCTGGTGTATGCGAGTCGTGATCAAAGCTCAAGTAGCTGGTTCTATGCGATCATGAGAGTCGTCGCTGAAGTGTTGTTCGACGAAATTTCCGTACTGCTTTCTGGGGGACGGATTTGGATGACGTCCCCGTAAAATCATTGCCGCGCCAAAGCGAAGCGAAGCGTCTAGCGCCGAGAGCCGCCCCGATATCTAAGTCCGAAGTCGGGGCATGTTCGGGGTTTCTTTTGCGCGCTCGCGGTATTCTCTCCACTGGGGTGCGCCCCACTTGCAAAGTCCAGTGGTATCCCGGTCCACTACTCCAGCAACTCCAAAGCCTCTCCACAGAACGCTTGACCAAAAAGTGCCCTGTGATTCGACGACTGAGTGGCTCCCCTACTGCCCCCAACCCCAGATCAAGCCCCCCACGGGCCTGGTCTCCGACACCAGACGTACGGGGTAATTCCCGCCGAATGGTTGGCGACTTATTACGATGATGTTCCCGCTCTGTCAGTTGTTGAGATTCTTCTCCATGTTTCCCTAGGCTGTACTACTTGTAGAGCTCCAAATTGCTACCAAGATGTCCAAGATATTCACTGCTGAAGAAGGTCGGTTTGCTGTGCTTCCCTTGCTGCGATGCTCTCGAGTCAATGCTGATACAATTCTCACAGTGGCTAAGCACAACTCACCTGACAGTTGTTGGGTGGTGCTCTACGGCAAAGTGTACGACGTGACCGAATTCCTCCCTTCACACCCCGGCGGCTCCAAGATCATCGTAAAGCTTTCCGGCAAAGATGCGACAGAAGAGTACGACCCTATACACCCGCCGGGTATCCTTGAGGAGAACCTCAAGCCCGAGAACTGCCTAGGCACCGTAGACCCCGAGTCACTGGCGCTGCTACAACCTCAAGCCGCGAAGGCGGAATCTGATAAACCCAAGGAGGGCCCGCCCAGGCTCGAGACGCTGCTCAACCTCGACGAGATTGAGGAGGCTGCTACAAAAATTATTCCCAAGAAGGCGTGGGCATACTACTTCTCGGCCTCTGACGACCTTTGGACCAAGAGCAACAACGGTCATGTATACAGGCAGATCCTGCTGCGGCCTCGCGTCTTCGTCGACTGTACGAAAGTTGACACCTCCACAACTCTGCTCGGCAGCCACGTAGGACTTCCGTTGTTTGTGGCGCCGGCTGCCATGGCAAGACTTGCCCACCCTGACGGTGAGCGAGGTATTGCGAGAGCAGCGGCCAAGTTCAATGCGATGCAGTGCGTTTCGAATAACGCGTCCATGACCCCGGAACAGATCATTGAGGGTTCCCCTGAAGGCCAAGTCTTTGGATGGCAGCTCTATGTGCAAAATGATAGGACCAAGAGCGAGGCCATGTTGAAGCGCATCAACGCTATGAAGGACCGCTACAAGTACATCACCTTGACGTTAGATGCACCGTGGCCTGGCAAGCGTGAGCTCGACGAGAAGCAGCAATTTGAGGGATCTTTCGAAGTCGAGTCCGAGTCAAACTCAAAGACGGAAGAGGCGAAGCGGCCAGGCGGTGGAGGTGTTGGACAGCAGCTATTCTTCGGCACGGCAGCAGACCTGGAGTGGAAGACGACGTTGCCGTGGCTGGCCCAGCACACTGATCTGCCCATCGTGCTGAAGGGGTTGCAGACGCACGAGGATGCTTACCTGGCGGCCCAGTACGCGCCGCAGGTGAAGGCCATCATTCTCTCCAACCACGGCGGTCGTGCTCTCGATACGGCGCCTCCCGCCGTTCACACGCTTCTGGAGATCCGCAAGTACTGCCCCGAGGTCTTTGACAAGATCGAGGTCTGGGTCGACGGCGGCATCAAGCGCGGTACCGATATTGTCAAGGCTCTCTGCCTGGGTGCGAAGGCTGTGGGCATTGGTCGCGCTGCTCTGTTTGGTCTCGGTGCCGGGGGTCAAGCGGGTGTCGAACGGACATACGAAAGTAAGTCTTGGAGTGGGAGCCGTGTCATGGCGAACGAGTCGCTAACCTTTCGCCCAGTCCTGAAAGCCGAGATGGAGACATGCATGAGGCTGCTTGGAGCAAAGAGCATCAGCGATCTAGGACCCAAATTTGTAAGCGGCAACACCACAATAGCCAAGATTCAAGACTGTTGTGAGACGTCGGATGCTAACGAGTGCCGCAGATCAACACCCGCGCTGTGGAGAGAGATCTCTACGACGGCGAGTCTGGCATCGAGAATAGAGTTAGCCTATGGGTGAAGTCGAAGCTCTAGTGCGGATGTTCTCCATGACAGGGAAACAGCTGAAGCGAGCTGATCTGACGTTGTGCTGTAAAACGGGAAAAATTGTTGGGCCAACGTGGGGTAAATGGCATCATTTGGTCACGAAGCCGAGCGTTTGCATGAAGTCCTTACTACGAGGGTGTTATATGCCTCATGCTCGTAGCAGGATATGCCTGGATCTTTCAGGGCGTTGGGATGAGATACTAAAGGGACAAGAGCGGTCAAGGTTAGCTATCGCGGAATGCATGGCCGACATCAGGTACACCACAACATTGCGGTTCCGCAGTCTCGCTCAGTCTGAGTAGGCTTTGTAGAGTCATACATCATCAGTATAGTATAGAAGCAAGCTGAGGGTTCTGGATTTCTCACGAAATTTAGGCTTCGGATGTCAGCCAGTGTCATCATTGTCATCCTGTCACTGGCCGGTCTGAGATGTCCTGAAACGAAACCCATGGATTATTGTACTCCATAATGGAGCTTCCTTTGAATTTTTTGGGGATTTCTCGATCCGACGAAGTTTCTCTCATTCGTCGTCCCGAGTCCCGAGAGGCAGAATCCCGGTTGAGAATGTACCACGGTGGTGGGTAGGCAGTGATGTGCCGCAACTTTCTCGGTCAGAAAACGTCAGGCGGAGCGGAGCGACTCGAGACGAATTACGTCGACATCGTGTCTGATAGGCCAGGGACCGTGGTGAAGAAAAGAGAACGGCCCGGTGTAGGGTGGTTGGGGAGGTAGCGTGGTGTGCGTGGTGGTGTGTCTCGTCGTGTGAGGACTCCTCTTTACACTATACTGCGTAACCCATACACTTTGAAGCTTCCATTTCCCCGCTAAGGCCGGTCAAGGCATAACAGGGATTGTTGTCTCTCACCTCTTTTCGTTAGCTGCCGGTGGTAAGTCTGTATGTTTGTGAAGAATAGTCTTGGTCGGATCGGGGCATCCAGCCACAATTACGATGGGCAAAGTTCCCTCCATGACGAGCCATTGGGGTCCCCGCGGGGGTGTCAATGAGGGGATGGGCAGAAAGACAATTGTCTTTTTCTTCCATGCATTTCGGCGCCTACTGTATAGAGTATAAAGGTTCGGCCGCGTGGGATGTTATTGTTTCTGTTCATCATGACCCTTGCGTCCTGATGATGTACTCCGTACTGTCAAGGTGGCACAAGCTTCTCACCCAAAATATGCTTGGCTGACTCAATCGGCCGAATGTTACATTGGGGCGAGACCAAAAAACTCAAAAATGGTACTGCCTATCCGTACAGAAAGTCAAGGTTGATAGGAAGGCTTGGTTGTTGTCGAAACGAAGTGAGGTAGTGTAAAAGCTGTGTCCAACAACAGCTCTCCGTGAAACCATTTGTAATAATGGCGGCAGACAATATGGGACACGGAGCAACATGACCATCCAATGCTGAGCTTCCTTCGGGTCCGCGAGATATCCGTAGCTGTTTGAATTGGTAACTTCCAAGGTGGTGTATGATTTCCGGTGGGTAAAAAGTCGTTTGGGAAGGACGCCCCACAGTGGCTCCTAACCTAAGGTACCTAAGCTCTGAACTTCTGAAGTGCCCGACTCCACCAATTTGTGTACTCCGTAAGGAAGGCGGGGGCTCTCCAGGTTCCCCCTCAGTAACGGGCGCTTTCTGAGTGGCTCCCCAGGTAGCTAAGATTCTGCTAGTGTAAGTCCCCGTCCCCGCTCCTACCCGAAAAATGCCCAGACTCTGGGGGATGCTGGGGGAGGAATGAGTGGGACATTGGCAGGGCGAATGGAAGGCGCGTGGGCAAGGCGAGAGCGGGACGTCGACCTCTTTCTTGCCTTCCTAGTGGGAACATCAGGTACCTCAGGCAAGCACAGCTGCACGACGAGGAACCTTAGGCTCAGGTAGCTCACGAGGGCAAAAGGGCAAGAGGGCGAGGCAAAGGTCCTTCCGTATCTCCAAATGTCAATCATTGGCCTTCTACGTCAAATCTCCGAGCCAATTCATCCTGGCACGTCTGGCTCGACCAATCCTGGCTCATCATCTGCCCATTTTGGCCGTTTACAGCTGCAGCTCCTTTCCGCGCCGCACTGCCTCCGGTTCCTTTTTTTCTTCTCCCTCTCTCTATGTTTGTTCAGCTCCTCCATGAAAACTCTGACACTTTGTGACCATGTGATTGTCGACTTCGCCGCGCTACCGATTCTGTCGTTTTCGCGCATGTTGAAGCCAAGACTCGGTGAGATTCTCATCAAAGTCAGACCGACAAACCCCCAGTATGCAGTTTGCGAACCTCCATTGGCCCTTCGTATTTCCTTACGGATACGCCCAAGAGGTTCGCCAGTGGCGCATAACGAGAGAACGAACGCCATCAGCCTCATGGTCATGTTACTTTGATTGGGCAGCGGGGGATACCCTCTCGAACGCAAGAAGCCCGCCGAGGGGGCCTCCTAGTGGGCGGCATCGGCACTCTTGAATCTCTGGAGTTGACAACGTCCACTGGTTTACTCGCCTCCACCTTGACACTTGTCTCATCGAGAGCACCACGGCGTAGAGGACCGTTGCGTTCTTGGCTATTCACCATTTCATTCGAGGCTACCAAATCCCAGCCAGTCCATCGTCACTTGCCTCCCAACATGATCTGGCTTTTCTCGCAACGGCTGGACCGCGTCTACGGCTCACTTCGTATCCGTTGCCCCTTCACTTGCACAGGTTTAATCTCATCAATACCCCTGCAGCATGGGCGGGCAAGCCACGCAGGTCGGTATATTGCGCCGTGGTAACGCAGAAGGGGAACCTGTGTGAACACCCAGTCACACGCAACCACACGACATCACTTTCATATGCTCAATCTTGTTCACGAGATGCCGAGGGACCGCACTCCGCTGGCCCAGCGGGATTGCAACTCTGGTGTTAGCGGGCAAGGGGTCCCCCTACCTCTTCCTCGACACACAATGCGGGGCACCCGCTTAGGTAGGAAGATGGTGTCGACCTTGTTGCTCGGCATGCCACCCAATCTGGCAACGCTGCCCCGGCCTGCCCTTGTAATTCGACCTCCCCTCCATCGCAGATTCGGACGTCAAAGATTCGACCTGGCATATTCTTCTGTGTTGGTCTGCGGATAGCCTGCCATCTGACTGGCCGATCCGTTCTTTCTCGTTACGCACTCTAGCCATGTATCCGTTCGATAGGCACGTTCGACCCATACACACCAACGCTTAACGGACCACATGCTGCGACCTTGCTTGCACTTACACACGATGCTTGCTCCACGCCCCAGGTACCGCAGGTCCGCAGCACATCCAACCTACACTACCCTGCCTACCCTACCGAGTCGAGCTGGGTTAGTCGATGGGTCAGTAAGGAAGGGGAAGGGTTACATACCTGATGTGGACATGGAGATCTCGAGCTATCGCTGCCGTGTGATGCATAGGGTGCCTACTATTCCCTGGCATCCCCAGCTTTTACCCCAGAAAGCATCTCTCTCGATCTTTGTACTTAAACACCCTCGGTCCCACTCGATTACTCGATTGCCTGACATCCTAGACAAAAACTGTTGGGCTGTCATCGACATCGACGTTCGACGGACAGTTTCCTCCTATCTTTCCCTCACTTACGTACACATACACTCCCACATACATCGGGAACTCCCGGAAGTGAAGGATAACTTTACAGCTATATCACACGACATAACACGCATAACGAAGCAGTTCGGACAACATGAGTAAACACGATATCTCCCACTCTGAGAATGCTGTCGGCGGTGGTGCTGCATACGGCGGTGGCAAGAGGAAGACATGTATGAGACATTGTGCAAGGTTCTGGTGGCTCTACCTGATTGGTAGCGTCTTAGGAATCCTTCTCGTTGTTCTACTCATGTAAGTTTAACATCCTCTCCAGTGTGATCGGATTCCCAATGTTCTAACGCGAAACTCAGTATCTTTGTTGCCGTACCAAAGATTGCACAAAAAAAGCTCGATGATGCCGAGCTCACAGTTGACGGAATCATTGTCTCTCAGACAACACCCACTACATACAACATGGCTATCAACTCGACACTGAGGTCAGACGGCTCAGTCAAGGCTACGATCGAGGGTTTCGACGGCAAAATGTACCTGACGGATCTCCCTGGAAAAGTTGCCTTCGTGAACCTCACGTTCCCCGAGACGAAATCAGTCAAGCTACAGGCCGTCAACATTAGCCAGCCCATCGACATCCAAAACATGACCGCCTTCACCAACTTCAACACCTGGCTTCAAAACAACGAGTCTGTTAGAGTTACCGTCTATGGCAAAACTTTTGTCAAGGTCAATGGCATTGCCAGGCGTTACGAGGTCACTTTCCAGAACACGATGACTTTGAAGGGTGAGTTCCGCCGCCACTAAACTAATCTCCAGGTTGCGTCAATGATGCATTTGGCTGACGAAACCTAGGTCTGAATGGCTTCAAGGGCCTTAATGTCACGGATAACACCATCTCTCTCACACCGGACGCTCAGGGTGACAACTTCAAGGGTCACGTCTCGATTCCCAACCCTTCCGTTCTTACACTGGAAATTGTACGGTTATGCAACTTCTCTCACAAGAATAAATACTAACATTAAGGTTCTCAGGGAAACGCCTCCTTTGCCAACCTTTTGGACGGCCAGGACATTGGTACCGTCTACCTCGACAACCTCCTACTCCGTCCAGGCATCAACAACGTCACCATGCGTGCCAATATTTCTCAAGCCCCCGTCCTTGCCGCCATGCAGAAAAAGCCCGCCTGCGAAAACGGTATCATTCCCTTCAGCCTTCGCGGCAAGAACGTCACCAGCAATGGCCAGAGACTGTCTTACTTTTCCGATGCTCTCTCGTCTGGCGAGGTTGTTACGGATATCAATATCGGTGAATCGCTGAAGAGGTCTCTGAATATCACGTTCGCCTGCACTAGCTAGATTCTCAAGCGATTTTGCTAAATCTGCCACGGACTGAACGAAAAGGGGGCACACTATTTGCGCACTGAGTAGCGAGTATGGGTGGCAAGATTGACAATTTTGCACGAATATGAGAGTATTAATCAGTGTTATTATGTTACTTGGAAAGCCTTTGCGACCCGGAGGGTGCGTTGAGAGCGATGGACCGGATACCTTTGCGGTGGTGATGATCTAGCGAGCCTAGATACCTATGACGGCGTAGAGCCGCATGACAGCTGGAATATGATACCTCAATACCTGACTCTATTGCCGGCGCTGATCACAGCGCGACTCAAACAGAGGTCACATACGATGTCACGATAACCTTCAATTGACAGCGTCGCAAACTCGCACTCTGTTTTTTTAAGATTCGACGTCATTCCCTTTCATCCCTACGACTTCCAGCCTCAACTCTGACGGAATAGAAAAAGTGACGCATCTACCACACACAAACCTGTCGTCCCAAGTAAAGCAAAACCCCATCCATCCCCTTTTTTCTTCTCTCTCGGTCCGTGTCCCAGAACTCGACCATCTGACGGCAAATGACGATTTTCGCAGCACACCCTTTCAAAACGCACGAGCGCACAACATCTCTGCCGGGGCAGTCATCATCTAAATCAAGGGTATCAATCGTGATGAAGTTTTCCCTGGTGCTTTGAGCTACGTAGTATTCCTCCAGATCACTTTACTACCTCTGTAGTCTAAACCCCCGCATCGAACTTGCTGCCGGGCGCGGGGGCGCCACATCAGAGATCCGATAACCGTCGTCAATCCCACGTGCTGAAGATCCCGACCAACGTTGACGCGCGCCTCGGCTCCCCAAGACCAGAGAAGGAGAAACGAGGCTATACAGCAACAACCCCAGCACCTGAGACGTCGTTACGAAACTCTGTCTCCATTCTAGACCCCACTGCGCGGCAATGCGGACTATGTAACCCCCCTGGAATAATAAAGATGTTCTTTTCCCACGGCACTAGTGTACGTTGTATGCGTATGTGTGTTTGTTTGCGGCTGGGCATGCCAGCACATTGTTATTCCCCTCATTGCTATTGATTGAACAAGGTGATGCCGAGGAGATCGACGGCGAGCGTTAGAGACACCGAGGTCTGCGGCTGCCAATGAAGAAGGAGATTTCGGGTGACTCGAGGATGGGTTGCAATTAAAGGATCAAGGATGAGATAACACAGAAATAGGTCGCTTGGCGATGGCATAGATGTGGAGGATTAACCCCCGATCAATGACACAAGACGTCTGATAGCTGCATCGGTGTCCTGGAAACTCCCCGAGCAGGTCAACCTTGAGCGGGAAATGGGAAGAGGAGGACATTTTGGGCTCGATCTGGGGTGTGTCTGGCAACTTCCCGTAGAGTAACCCCTGCACAGGAGTGTGAGGAAGAAGCATTTGATGTTGGTGACTGATGGGCACCCCAGCAATCAGCTTGCCGAGTTGCTGAATCTCTCAAGCGCCTGCCAAGCAAGATAACCATGGCAAATGAACAGCTGAAGCTGAAGCTGAGGCAGCTGACAGATGTCAGTGACCAAACAGCCCGGATGTCCTGCCAAATGGAATCACCCACCAGGCCCAGCCACTGCTCTTCACAGCGCACCCGCCTTCCTCTTTCCTCCACGCGAGACGAGACCCCCTTGCTCGATCCCAGCGGCAGGCGAAGCAGACTCGACAGCCGGCACGAACTCAACGGGCCCGCCTCCCTTCCTCGCCCCCGCGCCGCGCACTTTATCCTGGCTCTGCCGCAGCGCCGTCCTACCCGCCCAATCCGGCAGCAGATCCTCCGACGTCGGGTCCCAGCCGAGCGCGGGCGGTAACGTGGTCGCGTAGCCCGCGCGGCCGTCGAGGTCGACGAAGGACATGAGCTTGTCCGTCAGGCTCGGGTTGCGGAGAGCGGCGGACTGGGCGAGTTTCGCGTTGAAGTGGACGCCCTTCTTCTTGAGGTCGAGGAACTGGGTGAACTTGGCGCTGAGGGCAGGGGGCGGGGATCCCGGCGGCGAGGGGGGTATGTCGAAGTTGGGGACGGGGGGTAAGGTGAGGTCGCGGAGGAGGGCGCGGGAGGCGGTGTATGGCGAGGCTGGGGGTTGGGATGGATCTTCTCCTGAGGGGAGATCTGGGAGTTGAGTGTCCATTGGGGGGAGGGAGGGGCCTAGGGGGACGGAGTGCTGTTGGACTGGGCCTATTGTTATGGCTTCTGTTGATGGTTGAGGCTCTGTTGGTGGTTGAGGTGCAGCGGCGGTAGTGGTAGCAGCAGCAGGTGATATTGATGGTGGCTTAACATTATCTGAGAGGCTCGTTAGTTTGAGGTTGTGAGAAGGTCTGCACCGGTGACGGAGATATTACTTGAGCCTGTGCTATCTTTGGGAGACGCAGGTTTCTCGGCAATCTCAGTCTGGACATTGTGTAAGTGACTGGCTTTCTGAGTTGGAAGGGTAGCATCTATGCGAGCACACCTTCACCTCTTCGACCTCTTCGACCTCTTCGACCTCATCGTCTTCGTCACTGCTGGCGTACGCCACCAGACCACCCATTGTATCAACTTTGGAATCTCTATGTCAAAGAAGGTCTAAAATATATGGCCTCTTAAGGTAAGGTAGATTGACGTAAGTTGAGAAGCGAATGAGTGAGATGGAGAAACAAGATAATTGGGGACAGGTGAGAAGCTCGGTGTGCTTAAACGCCCCACGCGACAGGCGACAAAATCTGGGGAATGCACGCGCCCTATGGTAAGGTATCCGTATTATACCTTCTTTACGCAGCCTTCATAATTGCTATCACCTTTCATATTCAGATTCATCGAAATTCTTCACTGAGAATTTTAAATGACTGAACCCATAAAGAAGTTGAACATAGTGAAACCAGGACTCTTTCACCAACCATCGCCAAAAGATTTTAAGTGAGAACGAGGTACCTTCCGTGCCACACTTCCAGTGTAACCAGCCGCATCGCAAGCGTGGCTGGAAAATGGTCCGTGCGGTGTCGCGGGTAAAGCTCGGTGGAGTTGGCCTCGTTTCCAGGCGCATCAACTTTAATCTGATAATCGTCACGTCGCAACTTTTCCGCCCCTCATCCCAGATCCGTCGTTCGCATACCAACAGACCTTTTTTATTGGGAGAGCGGCCCTGTACAGCGATACTTGCCCATCAGGTTCCGAACTCTTAGAATAAACAGTGGCAAAGAAACAAACACACGAGTGAAGACCCTGTCGAAAAGTAGCTCGAGACCTACAACATGGCTCGGACCAGGGACTCGCGCTCACCATCGCCTGCAGGAAGCCAATACGCGAGACGCCGCAAAGACGATGACAGGAGGGACCGCCGCGATGATGGAGGCAGAGACTACCGTCGTCGCTCGCGGTCCAGGAGCCCTGGCGATGTGAGGAGACCCCGTAGAGAACGAGAAGGAGACGACTCTGACAGGTACCAACAGCGACGATACCGAGATCGCGAGCGCGATCGCGACTCTCACCGCCGGAGAGATCGCTCCATAGACCGACGAGACGACGATTTGTATCGCGGAGGCCGACGAGACAACGATCGCCACAGAGACAACCGGAGGAGGTCTCGCGATCGATTCGCCGACAGAGACCGATCTCTTGACAGACGGCGGCATCGCGATGGCGACAGGGACCATCGTCCAAGGCGGGACGACTCCAGAGATCGGGCTCGCGCGAGGCGAGAGGGAACTGCTGACTCCCGTCCACGTAGCAGGCGCGATGACAGTCGCCCACGCGGCGTAGCGCCTCCAGAGAAAACCAGTACTCCTGGTAATGAGGTGAGATTGACCACCATGCCATTTTCAACAATATTCGCTAACTCGATATCACAGGCTGCTAAGCCCAAGCCCGCCCCAGCCCAGACTGAAGCTGACAAAAAGGCCGAACGACTTGCCAGACTCGAGGCCTGGAAGAAGAGCAGAGAGACTAAGGCCAATAAAGAGAATGAGGTTAATCCAAGTCAGACTAGGAATCTCCTCGCGGAGATGGACAAGAAGTCCGTGGCGTCCCCGGCTCCCGCTTCGCCATCTGTCGCCTCGCCTGCTGTCGCATCTCCCACTGTCGCGTCACCGGCGGCATCCCCGGCGCCAACGCTCAACACTCCTGGAAACGCATCACCCGCTGTGCCTTTCGCGGGCAAGTTCGACCCCAAGGCCATCGCGAAGAAGTCGGCAGCTTCTCATAAGAACGCCGGTACGAATGGTGTGCTAGGGGCTCTTGAAGGGCGGCCTGAAAAGTCCACGGCACCTGTTGCACCAATCACGAAGGGTAAGCTACCACTCCCTCCCTATGGATATGCGCAAGGTGCAGCTGTGAGAGGGACACATGTTAACAGTATGGCAGCCTCAGCACTTCCCGCCAACCGAAACCTGAGCGCCTTTGGTTTCAGCAAAGCGACTGCCGATAGTGAGAAGCTCGCAAACAAGCGCAAGCTCGATCTCGATGAGGAGGAAGGGACGAAGAGGAAACTCACAAAGCTACCCGCACTTCCCCTCGAGGCTGATGACACCCCCTACGCTGATCAAGATGAAGACGATGAGTCGGACGGTGGCAACTTTGCCGAAACGGAAGAAGAAGCTGCTGCAATCGCCCGTGCTGCACACGAACGACGCGAGAGAGAACTACAGGAGGCGCAAGAAGAGTTCAAGCAAGATGTCGACATGCAAGATGCTGCGCCAACGCAAACTACTGAGCCAGTTGAAGAGCCCCCAGTCGCTGACAAGATGGAGGTCGTGGAAGCCGAAGAGGACGATGTCGATCCCTTGGACGCTTTCATGGCCGATTTGTCGGATACAAAAGCCCCGCCGGGTCCCAAGGCAAGTACATCCACGAAGAAGGTCCAGGAGCCTGAGGCGTACTTCAGTGACGATGAATACGCTTTCAAAGCAGACGATGGCCCCAACGCCAATGCAGCTCTCGCCATGGCGGCGAAACGCAAGAAGAAGGACATTCCCACTGTGGATTACAGCAAGATCGACTTACTGCCTATACGCAAGGACTTCTGGGTCGAACCAGCAGAGCTCGCCGCTCTCAGCGAGGAAGAAGTCACCGAACTGCGCGCGGAGCTTGACGGCATCAAAGTCTCAGGCAAAAACGTACCCAAGCCGGTGCAGAAGTGGGCCCAGTGCGGTCTCAATGAGCGGACATTGGACGTTATCGCCGGCCTTGGTTATGAGAAGCCGACGCCGATTCAGATGCAGTCCCTGCCCATCCTCATGTCGGGGCGCGATGTTGTCGCCGTTGCCAGGACTGGATCAGGTAAAACAATGGCCTTCCTCCTTCCTATGTTCCGTCACATTATGGATCAGCCGCCCATCAGGGACACCGATGGTCCAATTGGTCTCATTATGACGCCGACTCGCGAGCTGGCAGTCCAGATCCATCGCGATTGTAAACCCTTTTTGAAGGCAATGGGTTTGCGGGCTGTCTGTGCTTATGGTGGAGCTCCCATCAGAGATCAGATCGCCGAGCTCAAGCGCGGTGCCGAAATCGTTGTGTGCACTCCCGGCCGCATGATTGACCTGTTGGCTGCCAACCAAGGCCGCGTTACGAATGTGCGTCGCGTCACTTACGCTGTCCTCGACGAGGCTGATCGCATGTTCGACATGGGATTCGAGCCACAAGTCATGAAAATCTTCGCCAATATCCGCCCTGACCGGCAAACCATCATGTTCTCCGCAACCATGCCTCGCAGCATTGACTCTTTGGCCAAGAAGGTACTCAAGTCTCCAGTTGAGATCACCGTAGGAGGCCGTAGTATCGTGCCCGCAAACATTACGCAGATTGTCGAGGTTATTCCCGAGACTGAAAAGTTTTACCATCTCCTAGGCCTGCTTGGTGAGCTTTACGAAAAGGATGAGGACGCCCGTACTCTAATTTTCGTCGAGCGTCAAGAGAAGGCCGACGACCTTCTCAAGGAACTCATGACCAAGGGATACCCCTGCATGTCAATCCACGGTGGTAAAGACCAGGTGGATCGTGATTCTACAATTTCCGATTTCAAGAACGGTATCGTGCCTATCCTGGTCGCAACATCCGTTGCAGCTCGAGGTCTGGACGTCAAGCAGCTCAAGTTGGTTGTGAACTATGACCCACCCTCTCACCACGAGGACATGGTGCACCGATCCGGACGAACCGGAAGAGCAGGTAACACGGGAACTGCAGTGACTTACATTTCTGAAGATCAGGAGAATTGCGCTCCTGGCATCGCAAAGGCTCTGGAGCAGAGCGGTGTTCCTGTTCCTAAGCGCCTGGAAGAGATGCGCAAGGCATGGATAGAGAAGGTCAAGGCAGGCAAAGCCAAGGACAACTCTGGCTTTGGCGGAAAGGGCCTGGACAGACTCGATGCCGAGCGCGAAGCTGCGCGTCTTCGTGAGCGCAAGACTCACAAGGCAGAGGGTGAAGAAGACGACGTCAAGGAGGAGAAAGCGGAGGATAAGGGCAAGTCGGCTGTCATCGACATTCAGTCCAAGGTGTCGGCTGTTGTATCCCGTGCCGCCAACAAGCCTGAAGAGGCCAAGGGCAAGGATGCACCGGCTGCCGGCGGCGCCGGAGGCAAGCCGGGCCAGCCTCTTGACATGGTTAGCGCAGCCATCAGGAACATCAACGAGCGACTCGGCAAGGCCGGGCAGCTTCGCTCAGGACAGCCCATCGACAACAAGGGCCCCGACGCCGGTGCGTACCACGCTACCCTCGAGATCAACGACTTCCCACAAAAGGCCAGATGGGCCGTCACGAACAGAACGAACGTGGCCAAGATTTTGGAGGCTACTGGTGTGTCGATTACGACAAAGGGAACCTTTTATCCTGCTGGCAAGGAGGTACCGGCCGGTGCGGACCCGAAGCTGTACATTCTCGTTGAGGGTGACACGGAGGTTGTGGTTGGCGCCGCTATGACCGAGCTCACCCGACTTCTCAGTGAAGGAACCGTTGCGGCAGCTACGGCTGACAGCCGTGCTCCGGCATCTGGACGTTATAATGTTGTGTAAATTGCCCCGGTTCTTGTAGTATATCAGATAATGCCATTTTAGCAATAAGGCAGGGGCGTAGAGGAGTCAATAATAACGCTGGTGTTGATGTCCGTTCTTGATGTTCACTTGATTTTATGAGATAATAGTAGAGCAGTCGCCGAGGAAACCAATAGCACCAGAGTGAAGCGCAGTTTAAGAAAGCGAAATAAAGAAATGTAGTAACTTGTGACTTAGATCAGCCTAGACGCCAGCAATGTATAAACTCCAAACCAAGATTCAACTACCAAAACGAAGAGGTATTATCAACGAACACTGTCCACCCAAATCCATGATCTAAATCATCCAGGAAAATCGCTAAAGCCGCTTCTCTTTATCTCCCCCCCCCCCCTTCATTACGCATCTTGGCTTTAATTATACGTCCTAGCCTCCGCAGCGGCATCGGCATCGCGCTGTCTCAGCTGCTGGGTGCTCGCATCCTTGAGCAAATCGCTCTGGGTCTGTTTCTTCTGCGCGTTCAATTGCGAGGAGAGCTTCCCGGTGGATTTGTTTGCGGCTTTTGCTCGAGCCTGTTGAGGGTCGTGGGTGTTAGTAGGTTTATTCGCGCAGTATTAGGGTGGGAGGGGGCAGGGGAATCTCACCTCGGCTGCTTCTGCGGCTTTGCGCCGCGCTTCTGCCGCATCGGCAGATGATTGCTGTCCCGATGCGCCGCCGGCGCCGCTACCACCGCCCAGTGTCCGTGGCGGGCCGCCGACTCTTGCGGGAATCGGTGCGGTCTTGGGCTGAGGCGGGGGAGCGGTGCCAAGCGGGCGACCCGGGGAGTCAAAGTTGTCCCCCTTCTCCTTGCCGCAGACAGAGCCCATCACGGTTGCTGTAGGGGCGTTTCGGAGATTTGCGATTACGATACGGTATCTAGGGTCCTACGATTGTCGTGGTGGTGGTGGTGGTGGTGCGCGCGCGCGGAGTGGCGAGGTCGTTTCGGCGCGAGTCGTTCGGGGGAGGACGGAGTGAGGTCGGTGGGCGGAGGTGTTCGGGGCCGGGTGTACGTAAGGTATGTTCGAACAGAGTCCCGGGAAGGTGCGGTTCGGAGGTGATGCGGTCGCTTTTGTCGCAATGCGCTTTTACGCTTGGGTCGGTGTTTTGGAAGGTCGTAGCTACGATAGATGTCTTTGCGGGTTGCAAGGCTATTTTGGAGCAAAAAGATTCACGAGGAAGGAAGTAAGGCAGTGTCTAAAGTAGGTCGTTGGCTTTTTAGCCGGAGAATCAGCGTGGCCGTGTCAGGTAACCTCGTCTATCGATATGAGGCCAAGACTGCCCAGGTTTGCGACGGGACGTTCACTGGTTCAGCAACAGCGCTCCCGCCCATTCCATTGCCCTGCCACAGTGCACTGTACCACCCGGTGCGAAGGGCACCTCACGCTAGCGGTGTTGGGGCTAAGGCGCATCAGCAGTCATGGGCCCCTGTCGGGGCCGTCCAGTGCACCGCAGTGACAGTCATTTGTCCCTCCCTTGCCGTTGTGCTCACTTTGAGACTACGGCGGGGGCGGGGCTCATTGGCTCGAAAGAGAGGCGGATGCTCCAAAAAAAAGTTGACGGGCCAATGGCCGAAACTCCAATTCTTTTTTCCCACAAGGTTTGATGAGCTTGAATCAGTAGGTGGGGGATGAGCAGCACGCAATGAAACAGTTTGCTTCTTCTTCTTCTTCATCATCATCATGTTTCTTCACCTCTAACCTGAGGAAGGAAAGATAGTCGAGTCTTTGGTAGGAAACAATGCTACGGTATCTTAGCGAGTGAAAGTCCTGAGCTCTTTGCCAATGTCCCACTCGAGCCGCCGGGTGGTTGGAGTTGAGGTCATTGCTGCCGTCGCATAACGTAGCGTTTCCCCTTCCTTTTCGTGCCTCCAGCGGATGTGATGCCGATGCTACGTGGGGCAAAACTACCTGGAGAATACTTTGCCTGCCGCCCTACGCGTATGAGAAGACGCCGTACCCATCACGTAGCCAACAAGAAAAAGTTTCGTAGCTTCCTGCCCCTCCCCCTCCTTGATCGGAAGCCGATTTTGCGCAACCTCTCCTCCTACCCACAGGCATCATCGCGCAAGGCAAATTTTTGCTTCCCTCGATCCTTCCTGCTTCCTTCTCCTTCTCTTCTTCTTCTTTTTGCTCTATTCTCAAACAACAATTCTTCTTTCTCCAAGAACTTGTCGTTGCGAGAGCACCAAAGCAAAGATGTCGGGTCAGAAGATTGCCATCGTTTCCGTCTACGATAAGACTGGTCTGCTGGACCTGGCCAAGGGCCTGAACCAGCAGAATGTCCGCATTCTCGCCTCTGGCGGTACGGCCAAGATGATCCGGGAGTCTGGCTTCCCTGTTGAGTAAGTTGCAAGTCCTTGCCGAAACTTTGACTTGTGCAACCCGAAGCTAATAGGCTTTTTTCTGATAGGGACGTCTCTGCCATTACCAAGGCCCCCGAGATGTTGGCCGGCCGTGTCAAGACTCTGCACCCTGCCGTCCACGCCGGAATACTCGCAAGAAACCTCGAGTCTGACGAGAAGGACTTGGCCGACCAGAACATCAACAAGGTCGACTATGTCATTTGCAACCTGTACCCCTTCAAGGACACCGTTGCCAAGGTCAATGTCACTGTCCCCGAGGCTGTTGAGGAGATCGACATTGGTGGCGTCACTCTCATCAGAGCTGCCGCCAAGAACCACAGCCGTGTTACCATTCTTAGTGACCCCAACGACTACGCCGAGTTCCTCAAGGAGCTCCAGGCTGGCGAGATCACCGAGGCAAGCCGTAACCGCTACGCTCTCAAGGCTTTCGAGCACACTGCCGACTACGATGCTGCCATTTCCGACTTCTTCCGCAAGCAATATGCCGCCGATGGCAAGCAGTTCTCCGCTCTGAGATACGGCGCCAACCCCCACCAGAAGCCTGCTGCTGCCTTCGTCAGCGGTGGAGAGCTTCCCTATAAGGTTCTCGGTGGCTCCCCCGGCTACATCAACCTTCTTGACGCCCTCAACAGCTGGCCCCTCGTCAAGGAGCTTAAGCAAGCTCTGGGTAAGCCCGCCGCCGCCAGCTTCAAGCACGTCTCTCCTGCCGGTGCTGCCATTGGTACTCCCCTGACCGACGACGAGAAGAAGGTTTACTTCGTCAACGATATTGAGGGCATCGACTCCTCCCCTCTTGCCCAGGCCTACGCCCGTGCTCGTGGTGCAGACCGCATGAGCAGCTTCGGTGACGTGATTGCCTTGAGTGACATTGTCGATCTTCCCACTGCCAGCATCATCTCCAAGGAGGTTTCTGACGGTGTCATCGCCCCTGGCTTCGAGGATGCTGCCCTTGCGCTCCTGAAGAAGAAGAAGGGCGGCAAGTACCTCGTCCTCCAGATCGACCCCGACTACGTCCCTGCCAAGACCGAGACCCGGACCGTCTACGGAGTCACTCTGCAGCAGGGCCGCAATGATATCGAGATTGCGCCTAAGTCATTCAACAGAATCATCACTCCCAAGGAGTCTGGACCCCTCTCCGAGTCCGCCCTCCGAGATCTGACCGTCGCCACCATTGCCCTGAAGTACACTCAGAGTAACTCTGTCTGCTACGCCTACAACGGACAGGTCATTGGTCTTGGCGCTGGTCAGCAGTCCAGAATTCACTGCACGCGCCTCGCTGGCGACAAGGCAGACAACTGGTGGCTTCGTTTCCACCCCCGTGTCCTGGGCATCAAGTGGAAGAAGGGTACCAAGCGCCCCGACAAGAGCAACGCCATCGATCTGTTGGTCAGTGGCGAGCTCCCAAAGTCCGGTGCGGAGCGTGATATGTTCGAGGCTGTCTTCGAGGAGGTCCCGCCCGCATTCACTGATGCGGAGAGAGAAGAGTGGCTTGGCAAGCTGACCAATGTCGCTGTGTCAAGTGATGCTTTCGTGAGTAAAGTTCGTGCCTGCTTCGAGTGAAAACCTTCTGACAAGAGCCAGTTCCCCTTCGTCGACAACGTCTTCCGCGCATCTCGATCCGGCGTCAAGTACATCGCAGCTCCCGGAGGCAGCCAGAATGACGGCGCTGTCTTCGAGACTGCGGAAAAGCTTGGCATTACGTTTGTTGAGCAGAATGTCCGCCTCTTCCATCATTAAGCGTCTGTCATTTATACCAAATCGGTGTTGCGGGATTCAACTTGGGCATGAGAAGGGACGGATTTTGGTCCTGAAGGGGGGGATAAAAGTTACAAATGATGATGATAGCTGGCAAACCAACAGCCCTTCGCAACTAGATGCGAGTAGCATGCGAGCAGCATGCGAGCGGCACGTTAGGCGGTATGTCGGCTGGCCATGTGAGGTGGCAGATACCATTTGCTAAGCACAGATCACAAAAATCGTTGGGCCGCTTTTGTCAGATGACTGTGATATTCAACATATATCCGGAGTAAAATGGGATGGACTTTGAAGGAGTTTAGTTTAGCGGAGCGTGAAATCGGTGGCTGCATGGAAATAAAAGCCATTATGAGACGAGAAAGATGTGTTCACGTGCTGTACAGAACCTGCGGCTTCAGGCGTATGATTTAGAGTTTTCTCCTTTGACCATGAAGCAGATGATATCTAACTTCAGAAGCGCGAATTTGTCGATCTCGCAATAGGTCCCGACGCGGGATCTCAAGTAGGCTCGTCGACGCGGACGTGGTATGGCAATCCATGGCAAGGCGACTCTAGACGGAAGTCTATTTGCAAGGCAATACGAAGATATGCATACAAAGACATGCAGCTCTATAATGGCGTTCCCCTCACGCGTGGCTGACATCTACCGCTCCTAAAGGCTGGCTACCATACCCGGACGCCACTTGGAGCATTTCGAGAAGTTAAGTTTGGTGTTGAGGCGGCATCGTGGAGGCTTTCTGGAGTGAAAACATGCAATGGCGTCGTCCTTGGAACTTTATTGCGCGTCATTGTTCCGTGTGTCTGACAGCCAAGTGGCTTGCCATTGTTCTAAAGTCGGATGAACTATTGACGGATGCTGCCTTGTCTCTTGCTTACCCGTCAGTTGGTCTGCTGTCTCTTGAACAACCCCCCTGGCGGTTGGTAAAGGACGGTTCCTGGCGCATTGGCCTCGAGCGTAACCTAGGTACTTTGTAGTATTCTGAGAGATATTGTCTTTGCAAACAAACGGGCACGCACGCAATCTGATATAGAATGCTGCTTACATACGCAGACCCTGGGAAGAGAGTCCGGACCAATGGGGGGCTGCTCATGTGCTGCAAAAGGGCACATGGTGGGGCAGGTACCAACCACGGGCCAGTGATTACAGAAACCCCCCTGGGGCATCCACACCCCTGTGGTCAGCCTCTCAGAGCCAAGTGACGAAGTCTTTTTGGAGTCGAGCCCGCCAGTTCTCTTAAGAGACACACGGGCGAGGGCATGAGGACCGGAGAAAGGGCCTCATCTCGGCCGCCCTCTCACTTTCCATACGGCTTTAAGGTTATGAGGCTTCTTCTCCAGTCGACCTTGACAAGTATAATAAGGCAGCGGCAGTCGGCACCTTGGGGCAGTTGGAAGTGAGGAACAGACACGACAAAGACTCATTCTCAAGAGACTGAGTGAATTTTGCAGTGCAATATCGCGAACTAGAAAAAAAGGGAGAAAAAAAAACCCGGCGCAACAACCATCGCTCCTCAATTATACCGACAGGTATGTCTTATTAAATCATGAAGCGCATATTTCGCAAGGTGATTGACAGCAATGACAGGGGTTCTGGTGTTACGCTGGCAGGTTAGCCCCTCCGTCACCAGCCAGAGAGGCCGCATTTTCGCGCCAGAGGCCATCAAGGTTCTCACACCGCACCGCACCTGCTCATCGCGCGCCTGCAACACCGCCTTCCCACAACGTGGGTAGGAAGTTCCTACTGTTGCGGGTTGCCCTTGGTCCCTAGGAGACCTGAGAAGAGGAACCAGTGGTGCTCAGTCCAATCCAATTCTTCAATTCTCGACTTCTTGCCCCTCAAGCCTTGTCAACGGTTTGACTCGCCTGGTCACGCCTCGCATCGCCTCGCTTCGTGCCAACCTTGAAGCTTTCATCCCACTTTCATATTACCCTTCTACCCAAGTCTTGGTTCTGTTTTGTCAGGGCATTCATTACTGGACCTTCCTCCACAACGTTATCCCGTTACTACTACATCTACCCTCCCCGAATCTGACACCTGGAGGAATTCTCCGTCCCCAGGGTCTCAGTTTTGCGGCTCTTTTCCTCCCACCTTCTCCAAGAACCCTCCGACCTCCAGTGGCCCAAGCCGCCGGTCGATCGACAGTCTCCGTGGAACTTGTCCCGAGCCGCATGGAAGACCCAGAGATCCTCAACATCATCATATCAGAGTTATGGACGGCCAGCACGATGGCTTACCGTCCTTCGGTGGCCACGGCTCCGGCTTCTTTCTCGACCCGTTAGACGTGGAACATCTTAACGACCATTTTACCGGTGGCGTAACTTTGCCAGTATCGCACGATGAGTCCTGTATGGATTTGAACTTCGACCATATTGCCTGCAGAGGCCCGGATAGCAACAACCAGCATCACCCTGTACCCAACCACAACCACCCTCTCACCCTGAATACCATGCCGATGCATGCGCGAAGACACCACAGCCTGTCCACGATGCCTACACTACCCAACTACTTCGATCCCAGAGGCCAAATGCCCTTGGGCTTCGGCTCGAATGCCATCATGTCACCAACGGGGGCCATGGGCTTTGGCGTCTCGACCCCCAACTCGAGCCCTCAGGTCGAGGATGATAGTACCTCCGCGGCTTGCAGCAGTCTAGACTGCAATCGATGTGTTAGCGAGTGTGGCGCTAGTGAAGCTGGCGATATTTGCACCGATGCAGAGTGCGCTCAAGCTTGCGACGATGACGACTGCGACGAAGCTGCTGCGCTTTGTACAGACGCAGAGTGTCCAGCCAACGACATAATCTCTGATAAGGACAAAGCTGCTGCCGATGTGTTGGCGTCTATTGGAGACACCTTCAGCCAGGATGGCATGCTGCCTCCGTCTATGTCTTCGATGTCTTCAATGTCTTCTCCATATTACGCAACCCAAAGCTCCTATCAAAATGGAGGAATCCCAGCAGCAACTCCAAGCCATTTCCACGCCGGCGGGATGACCATGTCGATGGCTCATTCGATGAGTATGGGCAACTCTTTCCAGAGTAATCCTGACCTCTTTCAGACTGCCCTCGAGTCTGTAATCGACTTTCAGGATCCTAGCATGCCTGAACCCATAGGGTGGATGGCACTTGGCTTGCATCTTAACGATCATGCACACGCTCAGACAACCTGTATACGGCCTTGTATGACAGAGAGCCGGAATTTGCCGACCAGGTGCCCGCTTCCTCACCAAGCGCATGCTCATCAAGGTGAACTCGATTTCTCCTTTTGCATTCCCGACCCAAGCTCAGGGTTTGTACCTTGCGGCGTTGAGCTCAACGGCGTCGAGGACTGGGCTAGCCATTTCCAAGAACAACATGTTGTTGCGCCAGAAGGAGAACATCTTAACTATTCTCATACAACGCAACACTCTGACTTAAACCTGATGGCGCCGAATCGTCAGCCTGATTACCTTCCGCTGCCACCAGAAGGTCTTCTTGACCCGGCCCATGCTGCCCAAGACAAGGAGTCTACCACATCTCCTCTATCAGGGCTCCAGGCGTCTTCGTCCCCACAACCGTCTCCCGCCACTGCGCAAACCCAGCCCAGCCCTGATAAGCCTGGGGCTGAAGTGTTCACTTGCCAATGGGTAATCGCCGGCCAAATTTGCGGTATGAGCTACTCGAACGATGATGCCCTGCAGATGCATTGCAAGGAGAGACACATCGTCAACCTTGGTAAGACAGATGCAGGATACAAATGCTGCTGGGAGGGGTGTGCGCGTGAAGGGCATTTCACGCAAAAGAGCAAGCTTGAACGTCACCTGCAGACACACACCGGCTGTAAGTCACTACCCCATCACCTTCAACGGATAAGTATGCTGATAATGCTTCTAGTCAAGCCGGTCAAGTGCACTATATGCAATACTCCGTTGTCTGCCAAGCAGTCTCTTGCGCAGCACATGAGGATCCATACTGGAGAAAAGCCCTGGAGCTGCAAGTTTCCCGGTTGCAAAGCATCGTTCAAGCAGCAGAGTGCATTGAGTAAGTGAAACCAATATCTCTGGGTCCACACAATTTCTAACTGTGTTCTAGCGATGCACTCGAGAACCCACACAGGCGAAAAGCCACTCAAGTGCGAGGTTTGTGGCAAGGCGTTTGGTGAATCGTCCAATTTGTCGAAACACAGAAAGACGCACAATGTCAAGGGTGCCTTTAAGTGTGATTTTTGTGACAAGGACTTCCACAGACTGGACCAGAAACGCAGACATGAGAAGATTCACCGGAAGGTCGCGGTTGCGCTCAAGGCTGATAATCCTACCCCGTCTATCAAGAAGACACAGGGTGGTCGAGTTACAAAGGCAGGAGATCGAAGAAACAGTAAGTGATCAACTTGGACAAGGTTGATTACTTCATTGTAGGTTTGTGGTTCACGGGAGGCATTTTCACACTACGGATGGCTTTTTTCTTTGTCGACGTCTCATGAAATACCCTTATAGGCTCCAGATTCCGGACTGGCGTTTACATGGAGAAATGGATCAGGTCAGGACGGCATAACAGGCTTCGGTGTTCAAGGCGGCGGCGAAAAGTTCAAGGGACATGGACTTACTCTGGCTTTGGTGGACTGGGGGAAGACGTTTTTTTTTTCCATGACGATTCACGGTAGGTACGGTCAAAAACGAGGATAGAATTAGTATTGTAGCAATACAGTACTAGCAGTAATACCGTATGAATGACGCTTGATTGATGAAACATATCGAGGGCGTTGTCCATGGGTTTTCAGTTTTTTTCTTTTTGGTCTCCGAGCTAGGAGACTTAGGTATGCTCGCACTCGGCCAAGACGTCACTATCATAACTAAACGAGAAATATAACTTAGTCCGCGGATGATCCTTCCGGGAGCACGTATTCCACAGGTAAAGGGGTTCCCCGGTTCTGGCATGGGATTCAGAGAAGGACCGGTCACTGAGATCTCGGTGACATCTATCTGCGTTTTTTCCACGGGATAAATGTACCCTGCAGGCCAGCCCAGTCCCAGAAACCGGGTTTGCGACGAGAGTAGGTGAGTGGGCGACAACAGGTCATGTTGTCAACCTCTTCTGCTCAAGAAGAAGGCTTGTGGAGCGTTCCAACGTAGGTTTTCGTCCTGGGTCCATGCTCTCTCGGCGTTCACGGATACGAGCAGAAAATGGCGAGAGTCTCTATATGCGGTGTCTGTAGTTCGCCAGTCTCATCATCGCTTCAGCTTGTGATCAAGTATTACACGGCAGCAGATATGACAGTGGAGATGATAGGATTGTCATGTGGCATGGTGGGGATCGGATTACAAACGAAGTCTTCATCCATCGGGACGAGAGATAACCATGTGCGAGCTTCATTTTCCACTTTTCGCCCTTGTTCGCCATCCTGGCGAGGCAGTCAGGAGTAGGAGACTTCGACGACAAATCTCATATCTGGCGAACCACGAGGAAAATTTTCTGATGCAATCATCACGAGTAAGGAGGAACAAGGTTTTCTATCGTGGACGGTATCTTCCGAGAGAGAGGTGCTACGGTAGATGTAAGTTTGGAGGCGTTCTGTCAGGTGGAGAGGGGAATCGGGTTGGTCGTAGAGGGACATACCCGACGCGATGAAATCTCTGATGAGGGACATGATGTACCTTTGCGGGGAGGGGGGCGTGAAGTTGGTAAACTTATTCTTCAACACCCTCCCCCTCGTGCCCCTTTTCCTATTTTTCTCTCTCTCCCCTCCAGCCTCCTGGCGATGCTTCGGCGAGATTCTGTATTGTGGCTTCACGAGAAGGGAGGGGTCATATGATGATGAATATGTCTCGTGCAGGACATCGTCTACGTCGGCTAGAGGAAGATCTTGCTCTCTTCTTGGCAATGATGCTCTGGACTCAACTGCGGGCGTGATTTGTGATACTATAGGAACTTGGTGGCGATTCAGCGGGACTCGAGTTAAACGGGTGAAAGCTGACGAAAACCAAAAACGGCATGATATAGCAAGTCGATCCTAGTACGTCTGTCTCTCGTGTTCGTGTGGATCGTAGAGAAGCCCAGGAGTTTAGGCTTTCTTGGGACTTGATGTGACTCGCTGACGAGAGCTGTTGCCTACGGGCGGAGAGACTCGAACGGGAACGTGAGGTCAAAGTCTGTTCTTTACGATGCTAGACTAGATGGAACGACAACGAAGGTATGACATGAATTCCTCTCCACTAACAAGATTGCGAACTTCACCTTTCATGACCGAGTGTTGTGCCCTGGTGTCCAGACCCGCCCGACTTATACCAAAGCATCGAGGCCCCAAAGGTAGAGCGTTGGAAAAAGCTTTGAGTGACATGGCCAGAAGACGGCTCCAGCACTACAGAATCCCATGACCCAGTTACTGCGAGCGGGTTTCCTCCAGTGTCGTTGTCGTTTCCCTTCAGTCGCGAGGGCGTTTAAACAAACAGAGGTTTTGCAGGGTCTCGCTCCTCCTGACAAGCGAACTCAAGGCGAGCTTCAAACGTGCCTTCGTTGTTCCTCAATCACGCGATGAGCGAGTTTATTGTAGTCAAGTTAATTTTTCGGCACTACGCGTTGTATGGCGTCTAACCTTCGGTTGTCATGTTGCTTCTTTCCTTTTCCCAGCACAAAAAGATGGCCATACCTTGTGCTGGTGGAGTGCTGCCTCCCACACACTTTGCCTCATTCTGAAATCGATTATATCTCTTGTCCACAGAGGGTTTTGCGAGGAATATAGAGGTCTGGGGAAAGAAATTGGTATAATCTGCATAGAACCGTAGGAGCTGGAGCAGTGTCTCTCTGGCTCCAATCTGGTCTACTAAGAAGAAGCATGTTGCACTGATTGCAATAATTCCAGTGGCAGTTGCTGATGAGAAGACTCTGGCCGATATCGCCATCGACGAGAAGAAGACAGAGGTGTGCCTGTTGTGACCGAGAGGGCATGGCCGCTCAATACCGACTTATGTCATATCATTGCGTGGACTTGTTCATCTTCTAGACAGAACTATGGTTCTATGAGTCAATGCATCCCGGTCTTATTTGCTGTAGTTTGCAAATGCATCCATGAGCTTCAGAGGCAAGTCTCGAGGGCGATGAAGTTAAGCGTGGTCTCTCGGATTGGCGTGTCATCTAACTACCACAACGAACTTATGCCATACAGACGCCAATCTTGTAAGGCAGACATGTTTCCAGATATCAAGCAGTCAAAGGGGGGAATGGGGGCAGTAATGCAACTTGAGATCAAGTCTGATGCGTCGACATGAATGATAAACATAGACTATAGACAGTAGACCATGGAGGGCAGAGAGTGGGCTACAAGCTTGAGCATGGGAATCGTCTGGCTCGTGACTGCTTACTTCTCTTGAGCAGTGGTAATCATCATACGACGTCATATATCAATGTATAAGGGACTCCATCACAATTAGAGAAGAAAAGAGCAAACTTTTGAAGTCGGGACATCTTTGGGCCCCATCATTTTGGCAGCTCTATGCTACCTCACACCACACACGCCCGAGGGAATCCTCTCCCTCCCACCACGCAAGAAAGGAGGGGTGGGAAAGAACAAGAGAGGGAGATTCTTGTGAAGCCCATCCATTTTAGTTTTTCGCTTGACCAATGTTTTGACCCGTCTTGAGAGAAATCCATTTCGTGTTTTGCAGCACTGGGGGGAGAAATGATAAAAGTGCAAATAAACCCTTAATTTCCCTCCGTGACCATGCAATGCATCATCGAGTAATTCGGGATCCCCGTGTGCCAAAAACGTGTTACGCCTCCGTGACCATTTTCATTGTTCCTCATCCCCAGATCTAACCCAGCAGCGGTCGGTCTAAATTTAAGCAGACTGTATAACAGGTTAGATTCGATGTTCGCCTCCTACGAAGGATGCCATTCATGATTTCGGCCAGGGAACATGAGAGATAGCGCTCAAGAGGGTGCTGCAGATCGTCCCCTCATAATGCGGCCTTCATCGATCGCTCCTCTCATGGCCCCCTAGCCTCCAATCGAATGGCAGATATTCCGACTCTACTGACCTTGACGGCGAACTTGCGCTGGGGGAAGTGGGTGGTGCGCTTCTTGGCCTTGTCGGTGACAGCGCTGGCCTCCTTCTCGGACAATCTCCGGCGGATGGCACGGGTCTGCTTCGCGCGGAGGTCGAGGGGAGCGTACTTCTTGTTCTTGTAGAACAGGCGGAGCTGGGCGCGTTGCTTGGAGTTGATGACGGTAAGAACGCGAGCGATCGACTTGCGGATGTCGTGGCTATAGAGCGGAAATTTTCACCGGTCAGTCCTCTTGATTTCTCTTTATTCGATCGACGATTCCTCCAATTGACTCGGGATCAGGACAGGGGGATCAAACGCACATCTTGTTCAACTTGCTGCCGGAAGAGGCGATCTTCTGGATGCGGAGCTGACCGAGCTCAGTCTTGAGCTCACCAAGTTGCTTGGTCAAATCATCCTTGTTCTTGCTCCAAAGGGCGACGGCCTTGACCTTTCCGGACGACTGGGACATGATGAATTCTCGTCAGCGAAACGGGTTCTCTTTTCTCCTGTGTAACTCCTTGCAAGCAGATCTCCTGCCGCCTCTAGTGTTCGTTTTTTTTTCTCGTCGGGAAGGGGTAATTCGGGCGCGGGGTGTCGAGGATTCGGCGGAAAAGTTGCGTCGGGCTAATCGAGGATCGCGAATTCCATCAGGGAGAGCAAAAGGGGTTCACTCACCATCTTGACTGATATGGGGGGTGGCGCTGGATATCTGGGTTAGTATCGACACGTCGTGAGAGAGGCTGAGGTGATCGATCGTAAATTTGAAAGTTTGGCAAAAAGCTGTTGCCCTAGTTTGTGCGCAAAAATTCGGGACCCGGCGCGGGGCCTGCTGTGATTGGGTGCATGTGGGCCTTGGGGTTTCGAAGTCGCTGGTCATGAAATGCGCCACAGCTACTTCAGCCACAGTCTGTCACCGGGGCTGGCTGTCTTCAAGTCGGGCCAGCTTTACTGAGCAAGATATCAATGGCATCGACGTGTAGCTGCAACATTGTCTCAAATCTTTGGAAACATCTGGGAAATCTGGCGATATTGAACAAATGTTTCGATTTTTTTCAGTTGGTTTTGTTGCCTTTGGGCACAAAGATATCATGGGCTTAATTTCAGTTCCATGCCACTTGTCCCTCGTCGGAAGACTTTGTGCTAACAAGTCTCTAATGAGACAGATAGAATACCCGAGTAATAATACCTCCCACAAGCGAGTTCTTTCACGGCGTTCTAGCACATCATGAGCAAATCTTTGATGCTCCAGACTCTAATGCGACTCTACCCGCACCTGCATTCCTGGTGCAACACTTTCGGCACTTACATAATCATTCGATGTGCACGGTCCATGTGACGCCGAGCTCCTCCCCTGCTGCATCTGGTCCCTGCCGACAGTCCCAGACACGCGGACATGCCAGAGCCCATCGAAAGACAACATCTCGACGTCGAAGGTCTACCAACGTACAGCAACCACCAAGCCATACACAATTAGCATCGAGGCGCTATGGCTGCGACTACAGGAAACACGGGCTGGGCCCAGCTGCGGCAACAGGCACGAAGTCTAGAAACACAGGTATGGAATACCTCCGCTCAGAACGTCATCCAGGCTTCCCTGACATCCGGCCTCTACAGACAGAGACGCTATTCCACACCTACTCTCAGTTCTCGACGGTATCCGACATCCCGGCAAAGCCCACAGAAGAAGAAAGGACCACAGAAGCGAAGCTCCAAGATCTTCTCGAAAAAGTACGCTCAAGCCCTCGTCCGAAGGACTTCGGCTCTTACCTCCTTCGCTGCCTCGAACGTCCGTACTAACATGCCCGCCAACCCATCAGCGCGAGAACGTCATCTCACAATTATCACGCCTCCTCGACTCGGAAGCAACTCTCACCTCTTCAGCTCTGAAACAGAACAATCTCGCCCTGCTCCGCGAGAAGCTCGCCGAACATAAGCGCGATCTCGTGCGCCTGCGCAAAACCATTTCCGAGGCTCGCGATCGCGCCCACCTTCTTACGAATGTTCGCTCCGATATTGACGAATACCGTGCCAATAACCCCGAAAACGCCGAGGCCGAATACATGCTTGCTGAGCGCAGCCGTATCGATAACAGTCACAACATGGCCGATAGCGTCTTGTCCCAGGCATACGCTGTTCAGGACAGCTTCAACATCCAGCGCGAGACGCTCGCCAGCATCAACCGTCGTATCACCATGGCTGCCAGCCAGGTGCCGGGGTTGAACAGTCTCATTGGTCGCATTTCAGCCAAGAAGCGCCGAGACGGCATCATAATGGGCGCATTCATTGCGTTTTGCTTCCTGATGTTTTGGTGGTTTTTGTGATAAGCGGAGACCCGGCATGGCTGAAATGACGTCCATCGTGTGTTTGTTATATGTTCAACAAAGCCGTTACGACTAGGGAATTATTGGCATTAAGGGAAATGCGGAGGCGTTATTGGAATCGTTTTTGAACTTTCTTTATCGGATAGGGGGTATCTTTGGTGCATATTGTACACTATAAGAACACGAATATCTGTAAGCCAAAGTCAGGTTACATGGGCCTGACTGCTATACAAGGTTGGCTTTTCCGAGCCACCCGAGAAAAAGTTATCGTCCTCTTCATCAGGATACTTCCTTCTTTCCCTTCGCTGCGTTATTCACCTGGGCAGCCTCGAGTGCTGCCTTTTCGTTCTTATTCCACTCGTGGAGGACTAGCTTCATGCTCTTCACCAAGCTGTCCCTCTCATCGGGGTGACTGGGACCACTGGCAGCCCATCTTATCCTACACAGGTTGTCCACCAGATAGACATAGCCTACTTTGCTGTTGAGATATCCAATAGACTCGCTAATCTCATTTGTGATGCCGCGGGGTACGAGGAAGTACTTTCCCCAATTGTGCTCAGGGATCTGTTTGCGCAAGTTGCCCATGAACATCTTTACGATCCACGCCTTGAACTTGTTGTCCTCAACATTGAGCTGGAGGACCTGCGTCTTGCCGGGCGTCTTGGCCAGGAGCTCGTGCAGCGCGGGGTTGGCCTCGGGGGAAATGAAGGTCTTTGCCTGGTCGTCGGCCCACTGGCTGCTGTAAACGGCGACGACGGAGATCTTGTCGAGCAGCGTCCGCGTCGTGTCGCGGGGGTTGTTTGCGTTCTTGGCGAGGGTGTCGCCGACGAAGTTGGGAAAGAAGAGGGACATGTCGGCCTTGAAAGGCAAAGGGGGTGCGATGAAGGATTTGCCCTCGTGGAACTGCATGTTGCGCCAGTCGCGGAAGTAGGGGCGTGCCATCTTTTCCTTACTACACGAGTAGGGACATACCAATTAGCCATTTGGTCGTGTGTGTTTCTCAAGGGCATCGTCACTGGGGACTCACAGCTCTTTACGGCGCACAAGATGCTTGTCGTAGTCGACAAAGTCGTCCCTTCGTTCTTTCAGCGACCTCCTATCCACGCCAGAGTTGTCCTCAGGGTGAGGCGGGTGCGCCATGCCGATGGGGCGCGGCAGAGGCTGCGGCGTAAAGTTGTTGATCTTCTTGCCGTATGCTCTCGGGGCATGAATGGCAGATCCGGGGAGGTCGGGCTTCGGAGCCTCTACGGGGGCGGCGCCGGGCGCCGGGGTCGGGAGCTTGTCGGCCAGGTAAGGTCGGGAGGTGCTCAGGTGCCGTCGCCATGCGCAGACTGTGCAAGAGACCATGGTCCTTCTAGAGACCCCCATGGACAGGGCCATTGTCCGTAACGGTGTGGTTGGAACCATTACGCCTGGTTGTTTTGGTGTAGTTGGCTTCGATTTCGAGTTCTGTCGGGGTCTGGTCAATCCATACCTTGTTGAACATCAAAAAATTCGCGCCACATTATTCCGGCTTCCCTATCCCGCGAAGCTGACGCCACAAGGTCTCCAGCCACAATTTGACAAAGGCCCAAGGCCCTTGAGCCGCGAGCGATAATAGAGTGGATTAGCGACGCTTCAATGCGGAGACGAGGGGGAAAGAGCCAAGCGCACTGAACCGACGCAGCGGGTCTCGGGCCACCCTGCAGCTTCCCCGAGGGGCATTTCACATTGTGTCATGGGGGACTCAATCGACCTTCACTGGCCGAACACCGTGAATAGCCGAGTGTTTGGGGGAAAGGACAATGCCGTCGCCGAGCGGTTCAATCCTCCTGCAAGTGCGTTCGCACATTCCTTGGGGAGTGACTTCCCTTTTTCTCCTCTCTTTTAGAAGTAAAAATTAGAAGTTGAGAATTGGTTTCTTATCCTTTAAACTATTCAAAAAAATAAAACACAATGTTTCTTCAAAGAGGATCGCGCGCCGTCCGGACGCAATGGCACGTCTCCAAGAGTATGGCTCGTCTGGCTGCGGCCAGAGCTGCTGGCGTCTACCCCTCCAGACGATTCCACGACACAAGGCATCTACGGGTTGTGAAGCCTGTCTTGCTGGCAGACATCGGCGAAGGTTAGATGTTTCCCGTTTCGACTTCTTGCACAAAGACGTGTCTAACAATCCCGAGTTACACAGGCATCGTGGAGTGCGAAATCATACAATGGTTCGTCGAGCCTGGCGCCCGAGTCGAGGAGTTCTCCCCGCTATGCGAGGTCCAGAGCGACAAGGCGTCTGTGGAAATCACCAGCCGCTTCTCGGGTGTGGTCAAGAAGCTGCACTACGATGCCGGCGACATGGCCAAGGTCGGCAAGCCTTTTGTCGACATTGACATCCAGGGCGGGGCTAAGAAAGAGGACCTGGATGCGCTGACGGCCCCGACGGAAGCGGTACAGGAGAAGCCCTCACAAAAGACGCCGGAACCTCCTGCACAGCCCAAGACACAACAGGAAGACAAGACACAGGACCAAACAAGACGAGAATCGGGGGTGGCATCTCAGGATGCGGTCAGTGCTGAAGATACCCCACGGCCAAAGGGTACTCATGCCTCGCTCGCTACGCCGGCGGTGCGGCATCTGACCAAGAGCCTGAACGTAGACATTGCCGAGATCAACGGCACGGGAAGAGACGGGAGGGTTCTTAAAGAGGACGTACAGAACTTTGTTAAGCGCCGCGACGCCGGTGACAGGCCGGCAGGGGCAGCGACTCCATCCCCGGCCGCCGCGGCCCCGCCTTCCGGCGCCGCACAACTCGAAACCCGGGTCCCGCTCACGAACACCCAACAGCAAATGTTCAAGTCCATGACCCGCTCCCTCGCAATCCCCCACTTCCTCTACGCCGACGAGATCGACTTTTCCAGCCTCGTCCAGCTGCGCACCCGCCTCAACCGTGTCCTCGCGACGTCCCCCGAAGTGGGCGGCGGCGAGACTGGCGTTGCGAAGCTCTCCTATCTCCCCTTTATCATTAAAGCCGTCTCCATGGCGCTCTACCAGTACCCCATTCTCAACGCGCGCGTCGATCTCGACCCTTCCTCCTCGCCGTCATCGAAGCCGTCCCTCGTCATGCGCAGCCAACACAACATTGGCGTAGCAATGGACACCCCCGCCGGCCTCCTAGTGCCCGTGATCCGTGACGTCGGCTCCCTCAACATCCTCTCCATCGCCTCGGAGCTGACACGTCTGCAAAAGGCGGCCCTCGCGGGCAAGCTCGCGCCGGCGGACCTCAAGGGCGGAACCATCACCGTCTCCAACATTGGTAACATTGGCGGCACCTACCTCTCGCCCGTCATCGTTGACAAAGAGGTCGCGATCCTCGGCATCGGCCGCATGCGCGCTGTGCCGGCGTTCGAGGGGGAGGACTCGGACAGGGTGGTGAGGAAGCACGTTACCAACTTCAGCTGGAGTGCTGACCATCGCGTGGTGGACGGCGCGACCATGGCCCGGGCCGCGGAGGTGGTGCGGCGGGTTGTGGAGGAGCCCGACGTCATGGTCATGCATCTGAGGTGAGCAGCACGCGGGAGAAAACTTGTTCTGGAGGGAATATCGGGGGAAGGGAAGTAAGCGCGTGTGTGTTGTATCTGGCTTTTGACTCCGGGACCACCCACCACCCCCGAGGCGGATTGTGAGAGAGGAAAAGGTAACCCTCAGTAAGGCGCCTCGATGACGCCGTTCGGCCGCCGCGTGATGCGGAGTAAGAGGCCAGGATAAAGGCCACGGTGTGGGTCGGCGGGCGGAGGGCTGGATGACTTACAAGACTCTTGACAATTAGACATCCACGAATAATGGTTTGTAGATATGAGGTGAGGGCGAGCAGGAGGGGGCTTTAGCGGTGGCGTAACCAACTACCTACTTTGCAAGCACCAACAAGGGGCAAAAAGGGCTTGCGGTAAAAATTCAAATCCAAGAGTTCAAACAAAATCGACATCATCATCAAATCTGTAAGATTGGGCTGCTTCCCGACGCATGTCTGACAAGCATTTAACTGTACCGTGTGCAACCCAACTCCAAATAAGGCAGTGTAACTAAGTACGTACGACCGTAGGTGTATGTATGCGTTTGCGTGCTGAAGCCGTGATGTCGATACCTTACAGCAACCAAGCGCTGGCTGCCCCACCAGAGCCAACACCCCCCCGAGGCCGAACCCCCCTCTCCTCGGTGTAGGCAAGGACATATATGACGGCCCAGTCACGACGGACAAACGCTTCCCCACATCCTCACCGAGTTGACGCCAGCCAATGTTGAAGAATCCCTGACCGTCAAACGTGAACGATTATGCTCCGTAGCAATGCAAGTGCCTCGATCCGGCAGGTTGCCCACCACTTCAAGCAGTAACAAGGGTTTGCGCATGAGTACACCACAGAAGGGGGAGGAAGGAAAGGAGGGGCAGATTGGGCACGTCGAGAGGGAAGATGTAAGGTGGTAGTAGTAGTCATATTTCGTCAGTTATAATATTGTATTAATACTGAACTATGAGAAGTTGCAAGTGACAGAAAACGCAACAATCTACCCGGCCGAAGCCTGACCATTGAGAATTCTTTATTTTGCGAACCCCTGCATGGAGTGAGGAAACAAGCGCCAAACCGGCTCATCGTCGCCGTTGTCGCCTCCATGACCAGCCCATTAAGCCCGACAGGCCTTGATATATCGGGTTGCCATGTGTTGTCCCTACTCCCTCGCTGTTGCATAATTCCACCCAGCTGATTGGGCTACGCAAAGGATGCCATTCGTGGCGCAGATCCTCATGACACCCCTTCATCTCCGTAAATTGCATGCAGGCTGACTTGTCAAAGCCAGCGGTTTTGTGAACCAGATCCCAATGCTGACGCCATGAATATCCCAAAGTAAACGCTCACTTCTATGCCCGGAACTCCAATATCCCGTGGGATAATTTGACCAAAAAAAAGGACCAATGACAGTACGCCTTCTATAGCCGGTATACAACTCATGCTTCCTCTTCCATTGCGGCCTTGACGTTGGCCAAGGCGTCGCGCTTGACTTCCTCAAGGGAGCGGCTGACATCGAGGCTGATGACATCGGTCTCATCGGCCATGGGGGCCTCGAGAGACTGGAACTGGCTGCGGACCATGTTGGCACCCATGTAGTGGTTGGTGGCAGCACTGCGAGCCGTCACACGCTGGACCAGAACGCTTTCGGAAGCCGACAGGTAGATGAAGTGAATGAGGATCGAGCGATCGTAGTATCCAGCAACGCGAATCACGTCTCTGTACTTGCGCTTCAGAGCCGAGCAAGTGAGAACGACTCCGTCGGAGCCCGCAGCCAGCTGGTGGCGGGACTCTTCGCGCAGGGCAACAAGCCAGTCCCAACGGTCGGCGTCGGTAAGAGGAATGCCGTTGGCCATCTTTTCGATATTTGCTTGAGGGTGGAACTTTTCACGCGCGAGTCAGACAGAATTCCGAAATACGAGGCTAGAAAGCACCACTTACACTGTCACCCTCAATGTAGGGCAGCTTCAGAGCTTGAGCGAGGTACTCGGCAACAGTCGTCTTGCCACAGCCAGCGGGACCAGTAACTAGCCAGATGTGGTGATACTTGGTGTCGAGAGATCCGTTTACGTGTGCGCCATTGTTTGCGGTAGTCGGAACCCCAGGAACTCTAGGCTGGGTCTTGGACGCAACGGCTTGTTGTACGCCGCTGGTGAGTCCCGAAGGAGACTTGGGAGTTTGTCCACTGACAGGCATCGGGGAGTCGTAGGAAAGCATTGTTTTATGAGATTTCGTGAAAAGGAACGGGTCACGGATAACTGTGTCGAGGGGAGCGGGTTTAGGGCGCTGTTGCGTTGTCTGGAGGAGACAGGTTGAGGCGTATTGATAGAAGCTCAGGTCTTTGACACGGTCTAGGAGATAGTTATGGGATATTGAAGAAGTCCAACAGATGACGTGTAGTAGTATATGTAAGTTTGTTCTTGTAAGGATGACAAAAAGTCCAGAGACAAGTCAAGGAAACGACGATCGGAGAGTAAGTGCAGGGCGTTCCTGTCTTATAAGTGACACGGACGAGACGTCTCTGGGTCTGGGGATCGATGAGGTAAAAAATTCCAACGGGGACCCAAGGGGTGCCCTGACGGCAACTAAAACGCCCTGGCGAGCGCACAGCAGGTTCCAGTACCTGGACTTCAGCGGACTTCTCTCGGGCCAGGGGTAGAGAGGGACCAGGGGGGTGTCACTGACCCGGGTCCCAAAGAGCGGCGTCCCCTAGTCGTCATGATGGCCAATCAAGGTGTTGCATGCCCCAGCGGGGAGAAATCCGTTACTCCACAAAGTACTAGGGGAGGGTGGTCAAGCCCATATCCGTGGGGGTGCGCTCAGAGATGACTGTGTGCTTGCGTCCGATGTCCTTGACTGCTGTCTCCAAGTACGGATACGTTCGCGTTGTACTTTTTCTCCGCGGGATCCAAATGCCAAGGAGGTCGCATCTGGGGCAGACGTGGGACGAATGGAACAAGATCAGAGTTGCGCCTGATGAAGGGCAAATCGTTGGACGAAATGCATCCGTTTTCGAGTTACAACGTCCGGCTGTTGGAGCATGAGATGTTGCGACGGGTAACTGCATTCAGGTGTCGGGTGTCTAGCTTTTGAGACTGAGCACCTAGCAATGGCGCGCAATCAAGTATTGGGATCATCTTTGGTGTAGTACGGCAACTAGGTAAGGTGGTAGACGTGCTCAGGCCAGCCCTCCAAGATTTTCCACTAGGCTGTCATGTACTACTGCCAGAATTAGTCTGATGGCCTTCGGAATATCCTATGTCTGTACCGTGATGGCGGAATGGTGAGGGAGATCAACAGCGACAACCATCGAGGACCGCAGAGAGGCATTTCGTGTCTGTGTTCAGGTCACGAATCGAATCCCCCGTGTGTTTCTAGTGTATTCGTACCACTCGCCCAAGGTAGTGTACCAGTCTGCGCTGCGCGGTGCGGTGCGATGCGGTACGGTGCGTGGGTGCGTCGTGTGCATACGGCATCTCAAGGAGCTTCGAGGACCCCGCGACCAGGATGATAGTGTCAGGCGTTCCAGGAAAAGTGATTGTCAGGGCAAACACCGATACCTAAAATAATTGTGCTGAGTGTTAGCACATTGGCACAGAGCAGGGTGTGGCGTTACACAGTAGGTGTACGTAGTGCTGGGAAAAGGCAAAGCCGGCGGCGATGACAGGACTTGCGTCGCGGGTCCCGGGGAGGGCGGAGGACGGGGCTCGGTCAAGGAAGATGGAAGACTCCAGTTGGTCAGAGGGCAAAGGAGATGACGATGCTAAGGATGAAAAGGGTTCGAGAGGCCTGGATGGCGGGGGGCAGAAGAAGGGGGAAAATGATGGGCGCGGTCGGGCAGGGTGGACGAGGGGGTGCCATGGGCGAGGTGTGGACTGTGGAGGAGGCAGCGTGGGGGGACACACTTTTTCTAGAACACGACACTAGGGAATAATTTCCTGAACTGGGCAGGGGCCAGGGAAACGAGGGAGGTCACTCGACACGCAAAAAAAAGAAGGAAAAATAGGAAGAAAGAGAGGAAAAAACTTATTAAGCCCTCGATCAAATTTCCAGCCTCGGTGGGGGGAAAAGTGTCCGATGACGGGCAGCAAACAGCAAGCTTTGACCAGAGGTGAATATGACCTTTTGCCCAAGTGAGTGCAGCTGAAGACACACCTTTTCGTCTCTGCTTTGAAAGTCGGACGACCCTATTTGGTCAGTGGGGGTGGTTTCGTTCGGTGAGGAAGGTAAAACACCTGCACAGTACCTTAGGTCATGTTGAGAAAACCCGCACACCTACGGTAATTGGGATCGGTAGCTCGGAACACCTTTCATCTAGTATCCAGATACCTTAATCATTAATGACCTGCGGATACCTGCATGCTTGCTTGTAACTCCATGTCGTTTCTCTGGAACAAGTGCAGTGACTTGTCCGTTTCTCGCCCGACCAGCCTGGCCAACAGACCTGGTCCCCGTCCGGGACTGGTGATGGACGGGGGAAAGTGCAATAAAGTGCTTTTGGCCCTCGGACAAGCACCGAGAAGCAAGGATTACATCATACCTTCTAGTGTCTGTATCTGTACGGAGTACTCTGTCTTCGGGAAGGAGGTACGGATACCTGGTACGATTGCTCCCGCTCCGTGGCTGCTGCCTTCCATTCCATTCCCTTTCCGAATGCACGAGAACAATGTCAATAACTCAGAAGTATCTACTCCGTACCTGCCTACGTCTTCCTAGCAGACAGCCAAACGGGGGAGAGCCGGCTGACACTTTGCGATCCGAGGGAAGTGGCCACGGGCTAGCTCCCTCGTCCACTCAGACAAATCTGCGAAACGGCAGTACGTCGGCTCGAGGATTCCAACGCGCCAATGCACCTGCATCTCAACTTCCCAGTCGTGCCAGCCCAGTCCGCCCTGCCCCCGTCGCCCTAAACTCCCGTCATCAACCATGCGCTATGGACCATGAGGTACAGTCCGCAGATGCTCTGACTCTGGCGTCTGAGGTGCTCTTTCAAGTTTCGGCTCGGCTGGAGTTCCGGGCGGGGCTCATAACGAGCCGGCACCATTGTCACCACACGGCGGCTCGAGTCCTTGGCCCATCCATTGAACTTGGGAAAATGTGGTTTTCGGCTTGGTATCTGAACACAGTTCCCTCTCCCTTCATCACACTGACTATCTCCAGCCATTCGGATTGCGTCCTAACATCCTGAGACTCTTTTTCGCGCTCCTCTCTTCCTCCACCAGCGGCCCTCTGCCTCTGTCTACGTCCACTCTTTCTTCCCACACAGCCCACGCTGTCACGCTGTTCAAAGGCTCCAGTTCCCTCCGCAAGACTCCGCTAGGCCCTGGTCCTGGTCTTGCTGCAACCAGCCGTGGTGCATTACCACCGGCCAGCTCGTGTGCTCGTCTTGCTGATGCTGTCCCATCCTATTTTGCCCGCTATC